CCCACGTAGGGCAGCTCAGAACCTCCTATAACTCCAGCTGCTAAAGATTCAACACCATCTTGTGATGTCTGCAGGCTACTGCATGCATGTGCACACACTCCCACCCAGATAAACATGCATGCACATAATTAAAAATCTTTAAAAAACAGGCTAGCAAGATAGCTCAGTGGGAAAACTGCTTGCCACTAAGCCCAATGAGCTGATTCCATTCCTGAAGCCCACTTTGAAAGGAGAGAACTGACTCTTGAAATCTGACCTCCACACAAAGGCTGTGGCATGTGTATGTCCATCCTTAGACATACACTAATAAAAACTAAAAAACCCCAAACCAAACCAAAAACAATAAAAACATGCAGTCTAACAATTCTGCTACTGGGAATATATCCCAAAGAATATAAAATAGGGTCTCAGTGTTTGCACAGCCATGTTTGTAGCTGTGTGCTTCATGGTCACTAAAGGGGGCAGCCAGAGATGCATGAGTGTGGGAAATGTTTGTTGTCCATGCAGTGAGATATGGCAGCCTCAAAAAGAAGCTGTGACAGGCGTCAGCGTAGGTGAACCTTGAGGATTAATAAGGGGGATAAGCAAAAGGCAAAATCACTGTGTGACTTCACTAATTAAAATGTTTATTTTATATGTATGAGTGTTTTGCTTGCATGTATGTAGGTACACCTGTGTCATGCATTGCCAATAGAGGCCAGAAGAGGGCATTGGGTCCCAGGAATGAGTTAGGGAGAGTTGTTAGCCATTATGTGGGTGCTGGGAACTGAACCTGGGTCCTCTGCAAGAGCAGCCAGTACTCTAAACTGCTGAGCCATCTCTCCAGTCCTCACATAATTTTGATTAGTGTCCTTGTCACAGTCATAGAGACAGCAAAGTGGTGGTTGTAAGCTTGGGTAGAGGGCAAGGGGAGTTAATGCTTAGTGCACATAGTTTTGGCTTTATAAGATGAAAAGAATTAAGGAGATGAGTGATGACAATATTGCACAGTGTTGTGAATGTGTTTAATAGCCCTGAACTGCACATGTAAAATGGTGATGGAGTTTGATATTACTTGTATTTACTGTAATAAAACCTTAAAAGATGCAGTTAATACTTGAGGAGAGACTGTGATTTTATTTTTTAAAATATTGTGTTAGTTTGGGACTGGAGAGATGGCTCAGTGGTTAAGAGCACTGGCTGCTCTTGCAAAGGACTTGGGTTTGGTTCCCAGCACCTACACAACCGTCTATAACTCCAGTTCAAGGAGATCTGAAGCCCTCTTCTGACCTCCCTGGGCATTGCACAACACAGGTGCACTTACATACATGCAGATAATACACTCATACACAGAAAATAAAAAATCTTTAAAAGTCATGTTACTTTAACCATCTTTCTGAAATTAGTTGTGGTTCTGTGGGGTTGCCCTGTCTTTGTGATTTTTAGGAATTCTTTGCTCTTGTTACATGTTGCTAGTGAGTGTGTAAGCACTTTCCTTCTTTAAACCTCATATGTTGGTCGGGCGTGGTGGTGCACGCCTGTAATCCCAGCACTTGGGAGGCAGAGGCAGGTGGATCTTTGTGAGTTCGAGGCCAGCCTGGTCTACATAGTGAGTTCCAGGACAGCTGGGGTTACAGGGAGACCCTGTCTCAAAAAGACCAAAAAAACCCAAAACAACAAAAAAACCATAAAACTCATATGTTTAGAATTATATGGCCAAGTTTCTTCGTATTTTCCTTTTGTGCTCTTGTTTAAGAAGGTGTTTTCTAGTCCAAGATTAGAGAATACACAATGTTAGCTTTATGTACTTAGACAGGAAGTGCCCGAGTGGTTGATTTAAAGTTGATCCGAGCTTCGCTTGAGGCTAGTAGTCAGACGTTTTTGTCCTGAAATTGGATAACCACCGTGCAAATCAGTGGCCCTGTCTACTGAGTCCTCTGGGTCTCTGTGTACCGAGTAATTCTGATGTGTAGCCTGGGCGTTCTGAGCATGCTCACCTGGGGCTCTGGGCATTGGGTAAGTCCTATGAGGAATGCGGCCCGTTTGGTGTCTGGCAGGTTTGTAGTCATTGCTGTGCATTCTGTGTCCATCCTGCAGGTGTGCCTCCTTGTGGCCTTCTGCTCCCAGCCAGCTCTGTCTGTGATGACTTTATACTAGCCCATGGCTCCGCAGCCCAGAGTACGCCCAGCACTTCACAAAGGGCCCTGAGCTCCTTCCTTCTAGCTTGTGGGTCACAATGTGAGAAAGTGGTGGAGAGAGAAAATAAAATGGGCGACTGCTCTGACTTAGGGCCCTAGGAGGCGCCTTTCCCACTCTTGAGGCAGTCAGTGCCCATGCCTGGACCTTGTGTTGGATGAGTTCTGGTAGGAGACAGTAGAGGAAGGAAGTGGCAAAGCTTGACTTGGGGGTTTATGTCTTGGCCCTCTCACTAGTCTGCCTGCTGCTGTGTGCTGTGGGTGGGGCCCGGGGCGCTGGCTTCATGTACCGAAAACGCATGCTGCAGCTCTGCCTGTGTGGTGCTCACATAGAGCCTGTTCCAGTTTGTTTTTTTCACTGCTGTGACACAACACTCTGAACAACTCCAACTTGAGGAGGAAAGGGTTTACTTGGCTCACATCTCCTGGATCACAGTTCATCAGGGAGCCCAAGGTAGGAACTCAGGGTAGGACCCTGGAGGCAGGAGTTGAAGCACGGGCTATCAAGGAACACTGCTTACTGGCTTGCTCCGCTGGCCCATGCTCAACCTGCTTTCTTATATGATACATAATAACCTGCCCAGGGGTGGCACCATCCACAGTGGGCTGGGCCCTCCCATGTCACTCAGCATTCCAGAAAATGCCCCACAGACATGGCCACAGGCCAGTCCAATGGAGGCAGTTCTTCAATGGAGGCCCCTCTACCCAGGCATGTCAGGTTGACACTAAGCTATCCAGCATGGTCTCGTTCTGCTGCTTACTTGCCTCTCAGACCCGTGCTGCAGTTTCTCTGGCTTGGGGTCGATGATCTGGGAAGTGGTCTCCGGGCTCCTGCTGCAGTTCCCCTTTACTGTTCACACAGGGTTCCGATGTCACCTTTGTCTTCTGCTCAAAACCCATCTTAGAGTGACAGTTTTTGTCTGTTCTACCTTGGCTCCAGCTCCTGGCCCCCTGGCCCCAGGCACACTCAGGATCACTGCTTCCTGGGTTCTTGGTCAGGACTGTATTTTCCCTGAATGCCTAACATGGCTGTTCTCCCACCTTCTTCAGACCTTTCCTGCTCATCTCTCCTGGATTTGTTCTTCCTATGCTTTTACCTAGCATACTTTATGTAACTCATTTTTAACTCTGCTTACCTGCACTGCAAGCTCCATGAAGGCAGCCTGTGGTGGTGACTGCTCCATCTTGTGTGCTCAGAAGATGCCAGTGTGGAGTTAGATCTCAGTTATTTGAGTGAATTTGTTAGTAAAATATCAGTAACAAAAGAATACTGATAAAACCTTTAGTATGAGACAAAAAGTAGGCTAATGCAAATAGCATTTTATTAAAGTATGTTTGTATTCTCCAGAGAAACTGAGCCAATGGGTGATATAATCGAAGAGAATTGGATGCTCTTGTGAGTATGGGGCCAGGAAGTCCCATGACATACTGCATCATATTGGGGAACAGGTGCAGTTCAGAGGCTGTGAGGGCCTGAGAGCCAAGGGTGGGAGAACTGATGTGAATTCTGGAGCCCAAAGGGCAGAGAACCAAGTGTTCCAAAATCTGAGGGCAGGAAAAGCTCCCCAGGTCAACTAAAAAAATCATAACCCTTCCTTCTCCTCTTCACTCTGTTTGGGTAGGCCTGATTGGATGATGCCTTCGTACCACACTGGGAAGTGTGGAACTTCTTTACTTGGTCTGCTAGTTCAAACACCATCTTCTGAAAACATTTTCACATGATACAACTGGAAATACTTGACCAGCTATCTGGGCTTCCTATAGCTGAATCACGTTGGCACATAAAGTTAACATTCTCAAGCTTTGAGAATCAGTGTAGTGTGGCCTCTCTGATGATGCCTTTGAATTGTCATTGACAATGAAGCCATTACAATTGATAGCATGTTATTACTTCACTGCAGTTGTCTGTTTCGGTCAGTGTTCTGGGCATTTTCAATCTATTTACATGATGATTTTTTTTTTTTTTTTTTGGTCTTTTGAGACAGGGTCTCCCTGTAGCCCCAGCTGTCCTAGAACTCACTATGTAGACCAGGCTGGCCTTGAACTCACAGAGATCCACCTGCCTCTGCCGCCCAAGTGCTAGGATTAAAGGCATGCGCTACCATGCCTGGCTCATATATTTTTGAGACAGTATCTCACATTGCTGTTCAGGCTTGCCTGGAACTCACAATGTAGCCCAAGCTGGCTTGAACTTATAGCAATCTTACTTTAGCCTTCTGGGTGCTGGGATGACAGATGAGCCGCTGTGCCCAGCTCTTCCCAGACACAATTCTTTGTGTCTTTGCTCAGTTTTATTTCTCACTGTGTCCCTAGTCAGCATTGTATGCTTGTTCACTAGAATGCATTTTCACAAGGGCAAGGACTTTCTGTGCTGTCTCAGGTCTTAAGACAATGCCTTGCATCTGGGAGGTGCGCCATAAATATTTGCTCAGTGAATGGATTCTTCCACTTATGCCATTCATGTGCCTTTGTTTATACGTGCAGATTTGTAAGATTCTGAGGAAGTAGAGAGGTTGGAGGAGAAATGTGTTTTAGGTCATAGTACATGCTGCAGATGGCATAGATGATCAGATCACTGCGCCTCTGCTCCGTGGTTAATATTCTGAGATCGTTTGCTCTTTTTGCCAACTTAGTTAACGAGAAAACTGAATTCTCATTATTTTAATTTGCCTCTATTTGGTGACTGTGAACTTGAGCATGTTTTAATTTGCTTGTTTTTATTTGCATTTTCCCTGTGACTTAAACAACTATTCAGGAACTCCTGGCACACAGAAGTTTTGTGACTTTTTGCAATCAGCATGCCAGCTTTTTACTATTTTTTTGCAGGTCACCCAACCAGAGGAGCTCAGAAATGGAATATATTAGCAAATACAGAGAGCTTGAAGCCCAAGAGCTTGATCTCTATGGCGGGAGTCAGCCAACCAGTGGGCCAGGTAAATGGCGTCTTTAAACACTTTCACGTGATCATGAGTGTTTGCATACTAAAATATCCAAGAAAGACAGTATTTTGACCAAAGTATAAAAGCTATACTGCTTATTAACTCAAGATTCTTGGGGGTTATAAAATGTTAATTTTATCTCCTAAATATGATTCCTAAATAATCTGTCCTTTGGAAGATTAATAATGGTCCTTCACCTTACTTTTAATTATGATGACTTAAAATCTTACTTAAAAACTTATAGGATGGGAGCTGGGCCTGGTTGTGCATACTTTTAATTCTAGTATTCGGGAGGCAGAGGCAGGCAGGTCTCTGTGAGATAGAGGCCAGCCTGGTCTACATAAAAGGGGGCTGGAGAGATGGCTTATTTAGTAAAGTGGCTGCCACACAGCATGAGGACTTGAGTCTGGATCCCCAGCACCCACATAAAAGCTGGGCCTGACAGCATGAACCTGTAATCCCAGTGCTGGGGGAGCAAAGACGACAGATCCTGGGACTCATGGGCTAGCCAGACTGAAGAGATCCAGGTTCCCTGAGTCTGGGAAAATAAGATGGAGAGTGATTGAGAAAGATACCTGACATCAGTTTCTGGCCTCCACATGCAGGTGCACGCAGGCACATCTGCAGCTGTACACACGTAAACACACACAAACCCGTAGACCCCCCCACATGCACTCAAAGACAGGATTTTTAAAATAGTAAATATTAAAACAAAAATGTAAGCAGTAGAAATGTATAGTAGGTGAGTAGAAGATCGGTCTTCAGTCCCCTCTGCAGGGTGCAGCTGTGCTGTCTGGATCAGCTCTCATCCTCCTTGTCCTTTTCTGTGCCACGCTCTGTTCACAGTCCATCTACCTGAGCAGCTCCATCGCCTGCCCTGACTTGGCATGGAGCACCCCATGCTGGGTTTGTATTTGGAAAGTAGCATGCTGGTGTCATTTCAGGAGTTGATCAAGGAACAGTGTGGGGCTGAGAAGAGCAGCTAAAAGGAATGTCCCTGTCAGATGAGAACTGAGTGGGTATGCCCGTGTGCGTGTGTATACACGGTGACAACGGGCAGTTCTGGGTCAGTGTCTCTGTTTATATCAGCGCAGCCATGACATCACACTGACTGATGCCTGTTTCCAGTCCAGTACTTAGCTTTTAACACAAATGGTATTAAATACAGTTGTAAAATACTTTAATTACAAATACATTGAGCTGGGTGTGGTGGGACATACCTTTAATCCCACACTAGGGAGGCAGAGACAGGTGGATCTCTATGAGATCCAGGCCAGCTGTGCCTACAGGGAGACCCTGTCTCAAAAAGACCAAAAAAAAAAAAAAAAAAACCACCCCCCCAAAACCCAAAGCAACCCCTACTTTTGAGGGGCTGGAGAGATGGCTCAGATGTTAAGAGCACTCATTGTTCTTGCAGAGGACCTGGGTTCAATTCCCCAGCACCCACATGGCAGCTAACCATCCTTCTCATCTTCAAGGGCATTGCACGACACAGGTGCACTTACATTAACATTCAGGCAATATACACATAAAATAAAAATAATAAAATGTTAAAAAATGCTATTGAATTCAGTGTATACATGTCGTTTTACTTGTATTTAAAAATTATTTCTAAGCCGGGTGTGGTGGCACACGCCTTTAATCCCAGCACTCAGGAGGCAGAGGCAGGTGGATCTCTCTGTGTGTTCAGGGCCAGCCTCATCTACATAGTGAGTTCCAGGTCAGCTGGGGCTATAGGGAGTCCCTGTTTCAAAAAGACAAAAAAAATGTTTTTAATTAGAAATTTAAGGACACATTCAGTGAGTTCTATACATTGTTAGAACTATTTTTCCATAGTTAAAAAAATATTTCCATAAGGGTGGAAACTGAAAAGCACTGGTAAGTGGGGTCTTCCCCGACTCTGGGCCTGGCCCAGGTTGTGGCCTCCTCATGGTCTTTGCTTCACATGACTTTGGCTGCTGGGGTGGTATCTTCGTGTGGTCATGGAATGCCACAGTGCCCCTTTGTTTTTAGTATGAGGATACTTTCCATGGCTGTTTTCATCCCTGGGTAAATTTTTCTTCTGGCTCTAAAAATAGCCTTCGTGCTGTGAGCAGGGAGATAGTTTTCCCCTTTCAGCTGAGCTCAGGTTTTGCATGTAGAGCACCCGCCCATCCTTAAATACAGTGATATATACTTACTTACTTTGAAGATTTAGTTTATAGTTAAGGCATAAATGCAGTAATTGGGCATATTGTTTTGAATAGGTAGTGTCTGGATTCTTAGTAAGAAATGCTCTTGTGATCTCCATGAGCTGACATGCTACTAGTCTTTTAGGATCCATTGTTCATTGTGGAACCTTTGGAATTTCTGTTACATTTTAAATTTGGTTTATGATATGATGAGGTGGCCAAGCAGAGAGCAGCATTTTTTTAATGGTTTTAATTCTTCCAGTTCAGAGAAAAGAGTTCAGTGTTTAATAACGCAGAACAAAGAGTATGGAAAAATAAGAGCAGATTTTGAGGTTGTGGTATTTTCTGTCCACTTCTGGGCTTAATTTTGTCATGTTCAGTTTGTTGGTTTGCTTTGAATTATCCTTGATGCTTTTCTTTTTCTTTTGTTAATATAAAGCTGACAGCCTCATAGCTGTGAATAGTTCTATTCTCTAGTCTCCTGTTCCCCCTGGGGCAGTGTTAGTGGAGACAGGACTTAATCTGTGCTGGGTCTGCTTCAGCCAGCAACTGAAAAATGTCAGGTGATGCCTTGTGCTACATGGAGAAGGGCTATGGTTTAGACAGTGTGGGGAGGTCTTCTGGCTTTTTTTTTCTTTTTCTTTTTTTTGTAGAATTTCTGTCTTTTAAGTGGCAACCTTCAGAATGTATGTGTTCAAGTTATGTAAGTCACATCTATATTATCAGAGTAATAGTTTGTTTGGCAGCACCATGAACCAGGACTCAAAGTCCCTTAGCAAAAAAGATACCCCGGCTTCCTTTTCTGTCTACCAAAAACTTCCCACTCTCTCCCCTTGGTTAGCTCTGCCCTTAGCCTCATTCCTATTCTGCCCCTTCGGCTTGTCCTCCCAAGGGCATTGGCTTTTTCCTTTCCTGACCACCTGGAAAGCAAGGAGGTAAAGTCAGGCATGGTGCCACATACCTGTAATTCCAACACAGGAAGTAGAGGCAGGAAGTTCAGGAGTTTAAGTCATCCTTGGCTTGGTTACAGAGAGAGTTGAGGCCAGCCATTGTTAATTTGAGATCTGGTCTCAACCAAAGCAAACCAAGCCACGTCAAATCACAGAGAAAACTAAACCAATCCAAACCAAAGCAGAAAAGCTGCGTGGCATACTGGATGATAGTGAGGCATAATGGAGTGCTCCAGGTTCAGTGAGCTTGGCAGTGGGTGGAGAGGTGGTCAGAGGCCTGCACAGGGCAGAGCTAGGAAATCTTTCCTGTCAGTGGCCAGGAATACCTGAACAGAGGGTTTGTTCCCATGAAGGAGCAGTTTTTGCTTTGAGAGGTTACAGCAGATCTTGCCCCACTGGTTGTGGAATTGAGAACAAGCACCACACATCTTGATTGAGATCCAGGAAAAGATGGGGCTGGGGTCCAAAATGTGGGAGTGTTGTACCCCATCCACTGGACCCCAAAAAGACCACCGAGGACCCAACACACCAAAATGCAAAAGCAAAGGTTTATGGTTTATTCGGGTTTAAGCTCGGGCTCTCAGACCTCACCAACTCAACGGATCCGTGCCGAGAGCCCAGAGTAAGGGAGAGTGGAGCCTTTTATAGGTTTTAGACAAAGAGAGGAGGGGGGATACAGAAGATACATTTTGGTTGGTTCAAGGAGCCCGTGTGCGCCAACATAATTTTAAACTGATTGGATGTATAAGATGCAGCCCTGGAAGCTTCTTATTGGTAGGCACTATTCTCAGGGCTGTGGAATGTGCTGACTGTTATCTGTGGGGCCAGGAGTCAGCAGGCGGGGGTCAGGGCATGCCAGGGTATGTCTAGGCATGTCTAAAGCAGTAGCCAAGCATTTTACAGAAGCTAAAAGAGCAATTAGTGGGGGTCTGGAGGGATTGGGGGGTAGCAGGTGAATGAAGAGGGTCCTCAGGGTTCTACAGGAGGACCTGGATTGGATCTCCAATGCCACCAGAAGTTCATATATTTGTATGTGCATGTATGTAAAATAGGGGCTGGGTTGCAAGGTCTAGGGTTTGTTCCTCAGCACCACGAAAGAAAAAGGAAAGTAAATAGCCACATTTTAATTACACCTCGTTAAACTAATTCTGAAAGGAAAACTTGGCCACATTTTCCAGGTAGAATGATGGCAGGGAGGAGCTGTAGGGACAGGACAGGGTGGGAGACAGGAAGGGGAGACCATGCAGGGAGAGGGGCTCCCAGACAGGGTGATTTGGGAGAGGGACAGGAAGCTCAGGAGTTTGTATTAAAGCATGTTTCTCAGTGAAAGCTGTATCCTGTGAGCTGTGATGTTCTGTCCCTTTGTCAAGTGATGACCAGAGGCACTTTAGAGTTGTAAGCAGCCAGAGCAGGTACACAGATTACTAGAGAACGCTACATGATTGGGGCCAGACATCATACCAAGCGTTTTTACCATAGTGGGCTTGCCGCCTTTCCCTGTCTCTGTAGTTAGTTATCTTTGATTTACTTATGCAACGAGGAGACCCTGGGCAAGGACCATACTCAAGTTCATGGTTGTCACAATTCAAGGAGGTGCCCCTCCTGCTACACTACAGACCCAAGACCGACTTGCTGTGAGCCCAGCCAGACTCAGCCCGCACCTAGCGCTCCACATGGCAGCCATGCTGTGGGATACTGCCTCTGGGTGCCATGCGGACCAGACTTCTGAATAGAGAATATTTATAACTTTTGTATGAGAGAATCCGCTCCCAACAAGACACTACCAGCGCGCGTTTACAGAGGATGAAAACGCTTCGAAGTTTGCTCATCTCTGCTTCAGGTCCACAGATCAGAGAATAAATGAAATCGTGTGACCCGCTCCCACGCCACCTCCGACACAGCACCTTTGCTTGCTTTCTGGGTCTTGAAAATCTGGGTTCATTTCCGTTTAATTCATGGGTTAGGTTTCAAAAATACTTGTACTTTTAATGATTCCTTCCTAAGTTATTGAAGGTCTTTTTCATGGTAAATATTTATGTTGCCTTTAGCTTCCTGAAAACTTAAAAAAAATAAAAATTTAATTTAAAAACATGAAAAATGCATACTTGACAACTTGTGCATTCTGCTGACATCCCGCATTAGTACTGTTTAGTCAAGTGACCAGTGCTCTGTTTGGCAGGTCTGTTAACTTAGGAGGCAGTGCAGGCCTACATTGTTGGTGGCTGAGGTGGAAGGCTTGAGCCTCTTGGTGAATCCACCAAGGGGAGGGACTGTCGGTCTCTATTAGGAAGAGAATATATTTCAGCACTTGAGTGTATGTCCATAAGCCATATACACAGGTTAGATCTATCATTGGCTTGCTTACTTTTTCCTCTTTTCAGCTAAGAAATAGCTTTGTATTTGCTTGTTTTTGTGGCTTTTTTTTTTGTTTTTTGTTTTTTTTTGACTCCAGGTCCAAGGACACCACTGGCTAAATTAAGCAATGTGACATGCATTCCAGAGACAACTTACAAATATCCCGATTTGCCCATAAATCGATGTAAGGAAGAGGTAAAATTGCTTTTGTCATAATGTAATCTTGCTGTTGGAATAAATGCCTTGAGCACAACACTGTTGGCTTTCAGTATGAAAGAGACAGACAGGGTTCTGAAGCAGGACCCAGAGATCAGCCCAGTCTGGGTGCTTCATGTACTGAGTGTCACGGACTTGTCTTCTGGCCTGTGTGCATAAGCCTCCTCCCCATAAGTACCTGCCCCTCCCCGTAGAGCTTGTTTGAGAAACAGCCAGTTCCTATTATGAAGAAGGCATCCCAGCATCTCCTCTGGAGTGTCCTCATGGGGTTGCTCTCTTGTCTGCTTGTTGGTTGATGTGACCAAACGTTGACACATCCTTTTGTTACCAATGCCGGCCCAGATCTAGCAGCAGATGGTTAGGGTTCTCCTCAGTTCTGTGTTAGTGGGCGTGGTTAAAGTATGTGTGCTTAAACCATTATTATTTACTGAAAAGTTTTCGGTAAAATGAGAAATGTTCCAAATTTCATTTTTATCTTAAGATTGAATCATGCTTTTATGGAGTAGGTGTTAAAATTCAAATTAATTTGTTGATTTTGCCAATTGATAGAAGGATGACATGTTTAGAGTGGGGTGGGGAGTGGTGAGGGAGGAATTGGGTTAGAGTTCTAGAATACTCCACATACTCTCTAAGTGGAAAAGTGGAAGTTAATTGTTTAAAAATTTATCTGAAGAATTTGAAATGAAATTTAAAGCCATGATAACACAGATATTTTATCAGAGTTACATGCAAAATCTTTTAAAATTTTAAAATGAGAGAAATTTAGATTTAGAACCATAGAAATCTAGTATTATTTCATTTCATTTCGTTCTTTAGCAAAAAAGGGCCTAGAGAGCCGAAGTTACCTTAATCTGGTTTCCATAACTGTTAACAGTTGTACACCGGGTGCTGTGGTGAACACCTGCAATCTTAGTACTCAGGAAGCTGTGGTAGGAGGATCACCACCAGTCCTAGGCTGGCCTGGACTGTGTAGTATGACCTTGTCTCATAAACAAACAGACAAAGCAACAAACTACCAGACATACCAGTATGGTATTGGAACTGATTTTAAAAGTGGTGACCATTTTTTTTTTTCGGAGCTGAGGACCGAACCCAGGGCCTTGTGCTTGCTAGGCAAGAACTCTACCACTGAGCTAAATCCTCAACCCCATAAGTGGTAACCATTTTTAGTCTTCTTGTTTTTTTGTGATGTTGAAATGGTTATTACTAATATAACTTAAAGGTGTAAATAAACCCTGGAAGTCTTCTTAAGATAGATAATACTTTACATTGTTGTCAAATTTGTGCCAGTTTTGAAAGATAATTTTTTAAAAAAATTCTAGGTTATTTCTTTGATAGAAAGCAATTCTGTGGTGATCATCCATGGTGCCACGGGAAGTGGTAAGAGCACTCAGCTTCCACAGTACATCCTGGACCACTACACTCAGCGCTCTGCCTTCTGTAACATCGTGGTTACCCAGCCACGGAAGATAGGGGCCAGCAGCATTGCCAGGTGGATCAGTAAGGAACGCTCCTGGACTCTGGGTGGCTTGGTGGGCTACCAGGTGAGACACAGAGAGTGAACCTTGTCTTTTTAGTTTTCTATTCTGTGTAAATTGGTGTAACTGTTCTCTGATGGAAATTAAAGAGCAGGGTTCTGGAATAATTTGAAAAAAACAGTGAAAGAAAAATTCTTGAGAATAACTTTGAATTTCTTTTCTAATTGAGTAGGAGAGAAGTGAGAATTTTCAGACTCATGCTGTTATTATTTAATCCCTTTAATTATACCTTTGCAGTCTAGAAAGTCTCTCGTACATGTGGAATGCGGTAGAGAGCATAACTGGGTAGCTGATCCCTTCCCAAAGCCAAAGAAAACAGGTTTACTTAAGATTATGACTTTTCCTTTGGAACCCTACCTAGCTCCTGAGATAACAGTGGTTTGTTATTCCCTTTCCTGGGTAAAATGGATGTGACCGCTTTGGGTAGTTAAACCCTCTCCCCTTTCTCTTCTCCATCCTCAACTTCAGGTAGGGCTAGAGAAAATGGCCACAGAAGACACCAGGTTAATTTACATGACCACTGGAGTCCTGCTTCAGAAAATTGTAAATGCCAAGAGCTTGAGGGAGTTCACGCACGTCTTCGTTGATGAAGTGAGTACTCTCTTGCTCTGTGGGATCTGTATTCCCAGAACGTAGTGTGGGCCCCATCCTGTGTCCTTGCAGCATGGGTCTGATCTTCCCTTTCTGCCTGTGAATGTGACTGTTCGTTTTTTTTTTTTGTTTTTTTTTTTTCTTTGTTCTTTGTCCCAAAATAGGGGTGGGATGTTGAGGGCTAGGAAAAGATTGCTCCTTAGAGCGGAGATCTTTTGGTAAGCTGAAGCCCCAGACCAGATCTGGTGCATGTTTTTGTGAGTGAGGTTTTACAGGAGCAGCTTCCTTTGCCTGTTTTTGAGCGTCTCTGGTGTCTCTGGCCTGTATACCTACAGAGTGTATTAATTGCAAAGGATGCTCACCAGGTGCTGGAGGAGCATGCGATCTACAAGTCGGTCATAAGGACTTGTACTGTGTAGATGTTTTTAGCCAACCAGACTTTCTATGTGATCCATCAAGGATAACAATAGCTTAAAAAATTGGGCTGGAGGGGGTCGTAGCTCACAGAGGTATAGTGCTTGCCTAGCGTGTAAGAGGCTTTGGGTTTGAACCCAGCACTGCAGATAAAAAATTTTAATAAAGTTAAGTTATATTGATCCATTTAGTGCCCTGAAAAAAACCACAGACGTCTTGTAATTATTTGAACTCTTATTTTTGTGCCTGCTTTAGCTTTTTTTAACTTAAAAATTTGGTTTATTGCTGGGTGTGGTGATACACATCTTTAATCCCAGCACTCAGAAGGCAGAGGCAGGCAGAGCTCTCTGAGATCAAGGCCAACCTGGTCTATATAGCAAATTCTAGGTCTGCTGGGGCTGCAGGAAGACCCTGTCTCAGGAACCCACTGCTCTAGCCCTCCCCTTAATAAAGCACTCTCCCCACTTGCCTGTGTCTCACCTCTTACAAGGCCAGGAGGGGAAATGACTTGCCCAGGGACTACTCGTGTGTGTGTGTGTGTGTGTGTGTGTGTGTGTGTGTGTGTGTGTGTAGGTAGGTAGGTAGGTAGGTAGGTAGGTAGGTAGGTAGGTAGGTAGTTGTACAGCACAGCAGGTGCTTGAGGGGAGGGGAGGAAGTGGGAGAACATAATTCCTTCCAAACAGCATCATGGACAATGTAGTTCAGAATTTCTTATCACTTGGCTATTTTGAGGTTAGGTAGAAATCAAAGTCAAACTTAACAGGCTGTATCCTGTAAGCTGAGAAGAGGTCACTGTGGAGGCCCTTCATTGGAAATAGCCTTGATTTTTCTTCCTGGGTGAGGGGAGGCTTGTATTGAGGAGGCGTTCTGGAGTTGGTGATAGGTGAGGTGTCATGGTGTTCTGTGAGATTTCCACCATCACACAGGAACATCAAGTAGCTTCCGGCTCCTGCCTTCTCAGAGACTCTAGCTCTCTGCTCAGTGGGGAGAGGCACAGAGACAGCAGGGCCAGCGGGACTGGTTGCCAAAGAAGGCCTTGAGCCTCTTCCTGAGGAGATCCACCCTTGGGTTAGTGCCTGCTTCTCTATATTTGCAGGGAGATATCTGGTTATAATCTTACTGTTCCTGTGTGCTGTGATATATTGTGACCAAGTAACTGTTTCTTTTAGAAAAAGGGACTTTCACAGTGGGTACTTGGGTAGCTCAGTCTGGGGCTCCATCTAAGCAGGGCTGGGAGACAGCTGCTTTCCCAAATGTGCTTCTTTGCTGGTGCTGTTGAAGTTCTGTCTTCTTGCCTCGGGCTCTGCCTTTGATCTGGTTGACTACTGACCTAAATTTCCCAGGGCCATCCTTTACCTACTTTGTGAACTTCTGTTCTGTGCATCATGGAACATGATTTGCAACTCCCCAGGCAGCGGGAGACTGGCTGTCTTCATCTCCATACTGGTTAGAATAACAGACCATGGCAGAGGGGTCAGCAGGGGCTGAGGGACCTGGCTCTCTGTGCTGAGGAGAGTGGGGGAGCTCTTGGTTATCTCAGTGACCTGGACAGTACTGTTGGTGTTAAGTGGGCAGGGTCAAGGGGCTCGACTTGGCTCTTCTCAAATGCCGGTGGACCCCAAAGAGAAATGTTGAGGGTGACAGTGACCCTATGATACCCCCTGGCTTGTGGGCACATGCCCTTTGCTTCCTCCTAGGCCAGTCCCTGAAGAGCTGCATATAGCTAAGAGAACTGGTTTGGCTGCTAGTCTCCCTGTGGGGCAGGAAAGCTCGCTCCTTCCACTCATTTGTGATGACACGCACATTCTTTTTTCATTCCACTTTTACATGTGTGTGGTATGCATGTGTATATGTATATTTGCATGTGTTTGGACACATGCGTGAGTACATGTGTTCATGCATGTTGAAGTCTGAAGTTGATGTTTAGAATTATCCTTCATCCCTCTTCCACACTGTTCATCGAGGCAGGGTCTCTCAGGCAAACCCAGGGCTGGTCTCTATGCCTAGTCTCACTAGCCAGCTTGATCTGACGATCCCTCTTGGCCTTCTGAGGCTGGAATTGCAAGCAGGCCACCAGCCCACCCAGGATTTACATGGGCTCTGGGGATCCAAACTCTGCTTCTCATGTTTTCGTGGCAAGTGCTTTAACCACTGAGCCACCTCCCCAGTCCTGACGCATTCTTGATACCTTATGGGGTGCCTTTTTGTGTTGTAGGTGCACGAGCGAACCGAAGAAATGGATTTCCTGCTACTGGTAGTCCGCAAACTCTTAAGAACAAATTCACGTTTTGTGAAGGTAAATTTGATTTCAGAAATGACAGGAATACTTAGAATTAAGATTTACTGTTTCATTCTGTTTCTCATTTAGCAGTTTGATCCAGTCTCTTGAACCCTGTTCTCAGGTGTCGTACTCTGGGTCTTTCCAGGAAGCAGGCCCAGGGCATTCTCCTGGCCCAGTCTGAAAGTGCTCTTTGGCCTTATAGTGTATTGAATTTAGCACTTTCTCCAGACTGAGAAAATGATCTAATGATGTTGGACTTAAGGGAATGCTGGGTGCTGGAGCTGATTAACTGAGTAAGCACCCTGCTGTAATCAGCTCTGGACCATGTGAACGGCGAGTGCAGAAGTGGGGAGCTGGAGCTGGAGCGCAGCATGTGCACCCCTGTTGGAGGTGGAAGTCATGAGGGAAGCAGAACACAACAGAGTCAAGCTGACTGAAATAGTGAAGGTTTAGACAGTGATGTCAGCCAAGCCAGTCAAAATAGGTTACTCACAGCCCAGCTATGCCAAGTAGAGCTCTTCGGATAGCAAGTTCGGCAGCTGTTTGTTTGGGGCTGCTGAAAGGTTTGCTGTTAACTAAAAGCCATTGCCATTGCCTTTTTTTTTGACAGGGTCTCCTTGTACCCCCAGCTGGCCTGGAACTTGCAGAGATTCACCTGCTTCTGCCTTTAGGTCACTGCTCCTGCTCTAAAAGCACTCCCACTGGGTGGAGCTCAGTGACCTTTCTGGTAGGTTGCTTTGCTGCTCTAGGGATTGGAGAGCAACTGAGATGCACTTTTCATTCCTGTTTAGTAACCCTAAAGGTGGCATTGAGGACTCAGCAAATCAGGGCATTGATGGACGCTTGATGGTCATTTTAAGACTTTACATTTTTACTCCAGCCAGGATAATGACTTGATTGTATGAGTTTCAGTTTTCAGTGGTAGAGTTAGAGAGTGTCAGTGAATTCAAAACAGAACAAAAATTCTACTACCTTTGGGAGATGATGGAAACAATGTTGCATCTCTTCACTGAGGAGTGAAGTGGGCTGCCACTTTTAGTGTCCTCAAGATTTAGTGAAACAGTAAGTGAAGAGGTCTGGGGATCTGCGTCAGAAGTGGAGCACTTGCTTAAGGTCCTGGATTTGCTGCATGTCACACAAAGGCACTAAACCAGAGCAAACAAATATATACACATCTGAGCAGCATGTTTTCCAAACATAGACCCTTATTTGTATTTGGGTCATGTATTAGTCACTTTTCTGTTGCTGTGATAGAAACACTGACCAAAGCAACTTAGAGAGGGAAGGGTTTATTTGAGCTTATGGTTCCAAAGGGCAAGAGGCCCTCATGGTGGGAGGCATGGTGGCAGAGGTGACTGGAGGAGAAGGGGAAGCTAAGCTCTCACACCTTTAAGCAGGCACAGGAAGCAAGAGAGTGACTGGCGATCTGGCAAGGCTTATGAACTCTCTAAGCCCACCCCCAGTGACATGCTTCCTCCAGCATAGCCACACCTTCTAAGACTTCCCAAAGCAGCGCCACCAGCTGGGGACAAAAACGTCCAAATACTTGGACCCTATGGGGGACATTCTCTCAAATCATCACAGGTCAAATAATTAGAAGTCAAATTTTAGAGTTTTGTGATTCCTCAGAAAATCCCAATTTATTTCCTTTTTACAAGAGTGCTACTGTCAGAGGAAGAAAGTATACTCCGCAAAAGAGCACCCGCAGATGACTGGTCTCCTATAGCTTAGTCAATGGCAAGGGATTGGCACTGTGCCTGGGTATATCCCTTGGGTGGGGACTATTCTTGAAACCCACGGGGCTTCTCAATCCATCCCACAGTTTCACATGAATTCTGGTCAGTATGAAACATGGTTTGTGTCTAATGTCAAAGGAGAAAGATGAGCCAACAGAGCTTAAATGGCATTTTTCCTTCTCTGATAAGATTTGTGCTTAGGGACCCTCTCATCACCGAGTGCTGCAGGTAGTCCCCACCAGCCAGAGAGCCTGGAGACTGGGGAGTGACACGAGTCCTTGGGATGCTGCCAGCTGCTCTAGGGCCCATCTGATGCGCTCATGACTGACTTTCTTAAAGATAGCAGCTCATGTGTGCTTTGTGGCCAGACTCATAACTGTGGTTCTTCTCGAGCCCCTGGGCCTGGCTCTGGCCTGCTGGTTCCTGTCTGCTGCTGCCTTTGTCTTGGGGCTTCTCCACTTTCTTCAGTCAAAGTCAAGGTTTTCTAGGTCTCTTTTCTAGTTTATTCCTGTTTTGCTGGATCGTATTATCTTGTAATAGTTTCCTTGAAATTAGTTTCATTATGCAAAATTTCTTTTTGAATAAGTGGTTATAATTTGCTTTTATTGGAAGTGTATGTTTTTTTAGTTTAAATTAAGATTGTATTATTATTGTGGGTGTATGATGTGTCATGTATGTGCATGGCTGTGTCTGCCATGGTGGGTGTGTCGAGGTCAGAGGACAACTTTTCAGGGTCAGTTCTCTCTTTCCAGCAGGGGCTCCAGGGATATAACAATTTCTCATTTGAAAAAATAAAATAACAAAAGTCTCTTAGTATTCTTTAAATTGTTATAATTTGTGTAATATACAGGATAAAAATCAAGATATTCTGTTTAAAACCTCAAAAGTTACTAATTGTAGGGAGACCTTAGCTGAGCCTGGGCTGTTCATGGCGCTCTGTTCTCCCTGCAGGTGATCCTTATGTCAGCCACCATCAACTGCAAGGAGTTTGCAGACTACTTTGCTGTTCCCATTCAGAACAAGATGAATCCTGCGTATATTTTTGAAGTGGATGGCAAACCACATGCTATTGAAGAGTATTATCTTAATGATCTGGAGCACATTTATCATAGTGGGGTATGTTGGAGTGCACGGGTTCTTTGAGAGTGGATGGACTTTGGTTTTTTTATTTGCTTGCTTTTTTTTTTTTGAGACAGGGTCTCTGTCTTTGTTCTCCATTGCTGTGACAAAACACTCTGACCACTACCAACTTGGGGAGGAAAGGGTTTATTTATCTTACATCTCCCGGGTCACAGTTCATCAGGGAGCCCAAGGTAGGAACTCAGGGCAGAAACCTGGAGGCAGGAGCTGGAGCACAGGCCATGGAGGAACGCTGCTTACTGGCTTGCTCCCCTGGCCCCTGCTCAGCCTGCTTTCTTATGCAACAGAGGCCCACCTGCCCAGGGGTGGCACCACTCACAGTGGGCTGGGCCCTCCCACGTCACTCATCAAGAAGATGCCCCTCAGACATGGCCATAGGCCAGTCCAGTAGAGACAATTCCCCAATTGAGGCTCCCTCAACCCAGGTGTGTCAAGTTGACACTAAAGGATCCAGCACAGTTTCCCTGTAGTCCCAGCTGTCCTGGAACTCACTATGTAGACCAGGCTAGTCTTGAACTCACAGAGATCCGCCTGTCTCTGCCTCCGAGTGAGTGCTGGGATTAAAGGCGTGCGCCACCACACCCGGCTGGACTTTGGTTTTTGACCAAACCTGAATTCCCTTAGGTTGCAAGACCGTTTTTGAATTTGGTGTCAGAGTGACAGATGGGAGGGAAGGGAGTTGAAAGAAAATAAAAGGAAGAAACTACTAGGTTCTTGTGACGTGTGAGCATAGTAAGTGTTCCCATCACCCCAATTTATGAAAATTGAGACCAGCTTTATACCAGATTGATGTGGAAAATGAAGTTGTCAGGTTTTGGTCATTATAAAATTGTAGATTTGCTTGAAGATGGGTGGTCATTTTACTTTAGGAACGATTTTGATTACATTTGTAGTATGAGGTGATTGACTTAGACCTGGAGGTGACTGTCTGCAATGGTGAGGAACTGGGGACATTTTCATACAAGGCCAAGGTGGACTTAAAGTTGCTTTCATGTGTGTGACTGCCTCCTTCTGATCCTTCTGAGGATGTGCTCAGAGGTAGAGGGCTTGTCCAGCTGGTGTGAGACCCTGGGTCCATCCTCAGTGCCAGAAACAAACCAAAGGAGTGAAACTTCCCTCACATTTCCTTTTTCCTTCCTATTTACCCAGCAGACCTCCCTTCTCTTCCCATAAGAGACCGCTCTTAGCGATTTCTTAGGAATTCTTCCACACATATTTAGGCTATCCGACAAATACAAACCGGCCTTTTCTTCTTCCCACCGAAGTGGTAGTATTCTGTTCTCACCTAGTTCCCCCTAGCTTTATGCATCTTTTTGTGTCAGTACACGGTTTCTCTGATTTCCTTTTCAGGGCTGCATGCCGCTCCGTTGTTGAAGCTGCACTCTAGCCAGTCTTCAGTAGTTCTGGTCTTAGTGCAGACAGTGCTGCAGTGAGTAGCAGCCCTGTCATTGTGCACACGGGGTAGGATCGCTTTATAGGACAGTTTCTCAGCCTTATTGGCATGTTGGCCTAGATAATCCTGTGTGGTCAGGGTGTCCTATCCTTTCAGGATGCTTCTTCTTGGCTTTCGCCACTAGATGCAAGCAGCACCTCTCACCCTTCTCCACTATGACAACCGGAGATGGTCCTAGACAGTACCAGGCGTCTGACGGGAACCTCTCTGTCAGCTGTGCCTTCCTGGAGCACATGAGCCTGGAAGGGGATTGCTGTGTCAAAGAATACATATGTGTAGTTGCAATTTGATGAATGTGACCAAGTTGCTCTGGGTAGGAGTTTAGCTTTTATGAAAAACATTTGTGATGTTAAACAGCAGTTTCTACTAAAATGAGGTGGCTGACCAGGTTTCACCTGACATCAACATTTAGGCACTTGCTTGTGGATGTGTTAAGGAGGGAGGGTCAACTGTGGTATGTCTGTGGGTCTGTTCTGTGAGGCCTTGTGGTTGGACCAAATCATCTTCCTGGAATCCAGGGCCCTGTTGCTGATGGTGAGTTCTGTTCAGCTGTTTGAAGGCACTTAGATTTACCATTATTTACCACATAGCCCATCTTTGCCCATGCTATGGACACAGTGTTTCACTGAATGAACAGAAGAATAAATATACAGACTGAACTATATACTGATTTTTGGTTTGTCTTTTTTGGGGGGTGGGGTGCTAGAGTTGGAACTCAGGGGACTTCTCTAGCTAAGCATGTGCTCTGACTCCCAGATCCTGTGTATTTCTGTTAACATGTGAGCATAGCATTTTGTGTCTATTCTGTCACATAGCTTTCATCATCAGAGGACTTCAAGTTCAACTTCATCATTCCTACTGCCATCTTCATACCATCTCATGCTGTTCAGTGCTACAAGGGAGAAGCACTTCTGTGGAGCTCAGTCTTTCTGCCTGTTTGTCTGTGTGCCTCCTCTGTGAGGGCTGTGTCTGGCCCACTGTGTGTCCCCTCTGTGAGGGCTTTGTCTGATCCACTGTGTGTCCCTTCTCCTTGAGGGCTATCTCTGACCCACTGTATGTCTCTTCTCTATGAGGGCTCTGTCTGATCTACTGTGTGTCCCTTCCCCTTGAGGGCTGTGTCTGACCGACTGTGTGTCCCTTCTCCTTGAGGACTGTCTCTGACCCACTGTATGTCTCTTCTCTGTGAGGGCTGTGTCTGACCCACCGTGTGTTCCTTCTCTGTGAGGGCTGTGTCTGACCCACTGTGTATCCCCTCTGTGAGAGCTGTGTCTGACCCACTGTGTCTCCCCTCTGTGAGAGCTGTGTCTGACCCACTGTGTCTGCCCTCTGTGAGGGCTGTGTCTGGCCCAGTGTGTATTCCTTCTCTGTGAGGGCTGTGTCTGGCCCAGTGTGTATTCCTTCTCTGTGAGGGCTGTGTCTGACCCACTGTGTGGTGTCCTCCTCTCCTTCCTGGGTTTTCTTTCTGTTCCCCTTTTCTTGCTCATGTTTAAACACAGCTGCATTCTTTCATCTTGAGGAACATCCTCCTCAGATCCCAAGTTTCTCTGCAGCTTTTCCCAGCCTTTGTCTGGAGGCTCAGTCTCTGCTTCTCTAGCTCCCAGAGTGCTTGGTTGTCCTGTGTGACTGCTGACTGCCCCCTTAGGCCCAGTAGTCTCCTAAGCCTTGGCAGATAGCTGCCATAGCAAGTGGTATTCTAAGGGCACATCAACCCTAAGGCGCAGAGGTATGGTACTTCCACGTCCTAGTAGTTCCTGTGCATGAAAGTGTTAGCATCTCAGAGTTCCTAGAGGCAGGGGTTTGACAGAGTGGTGGAAGGCACTGGCTTTGGGGTAGGAAACAACTCCTAAGTGCCTAGCCTTTGATGCAACTATGCCTTAAAAATAGGTTTCCTGCCAAACATTCTGTGTCCTTTTTTGGGTTCTCTTATCTCATCCATGCTCCCAGTGACTGGGCGAGGTGACCAGTGACTTTAGCACTGTACATGTTATGTGTCTCGGGTAGTGCTTGACCCAGCAAGTGTTCAGGTGGCTGTAAATGGTGTTCTTTTCATTGGTTTTTCTGAGTGAGGTCTGCAGGGTGAGTCACCTATCTAACCATTTCCTCCGGACTCTGGTTCGGGTTCTTTTTTCTCTATTGTTTTCAGCTCCCTCCCTATCGTCTGGAGGAGCCAGTGATAACGAAGGATATCTATGAAGTTGCCGTGTCTCTAATTCAGATGTTCGATGACCTGGACATGACGGAGAGCAGGTAAGAAACCTTCCAGCTGCACTTCAGCGTGTGCCTTGAAGCATTTGTCACACATTGGAGACTTCTTGGGGTTTTACAGTGTTAAGATGAAACTGTAGACACTTTGGCTTGTTTGGAGCCAGTGTCTAGCTGTATAACCACAGGGTGTTCTCACATGGCAAGTGCTGGGACTAAAAGTGTGTGCCTCCATACCAGGCTGTGGGTACTTTTTCAGCAGTCACTGTCTACAGTGTTTTGGAAGTGTTTTACTGGAAATTTCTACTTAAAGGAATCAAACCCTTGCTGAGTACAGCTTTAAGACTTTTCAAACTTTTAAAAGTTTTATTATTTTTATTTTATGTGTATGCGTGTATTGCCTGCATGTAAGTAAGTACACCTGTGTTGTGCAATGCCCGTGGAGGTCAGAAGAGGCTGTCGGATCCCCTAGGACTGGTGTTACAGACAGTTGTTAGCTGCCATGTAGGTGCTGGGATTTGAACCTGGGTCTTCTGCAAGAACAACCAGTGTTCTTAACTGCTGAGCCACCTCTCCAGCCCCAAGACTTTTTTAAATTTTTTAAAGCTTGGATTGGAGCCAGAGATGGGAGGCTTTTCCAGACATGTGGAGTCACATGGCTTTTTGTCTTTGTTTCAAAGACACATTCCTGACACCCAGAGAGCTCCAACTGTAATCCAGCCACTCATTCTTTTACCTTGTTTTTTAAAAAAAACTTGAGCTTTTTTTTCCCTTCAGGACAGCTTAGGTTCTGAGTGCTGGTTAGAGTCTGTAATTAAAAATGTACTCTATTATTGAAATTTTAGGGTTCTAATTCTACAGCAGTTCGTAAATAGTGCTTACTATCCTAGAACAACAAGTAATGAGAATGTAGGTTCTCCATCCTTAGATTAAAGAAGCTGTATTGCTGGGTGGCTTTTCTTCTACAGTCCTTAGATGGACACCCCCAAACGGCCTTCCTGGGTTGTGAATTTGGACTTTTCTTGGCTCATGTTCATTTTTCACACATTATACACTTCAAGGAAGCTGTTGGTTGTTCTTAGTTTTTATTTGGCTAAAAAATTCTTTTATTTCACTCTCCATTCTTTGCTTTAAAACATTTTAAAGCAGTATGGTGGTGCATGTCTATAATTCCAGTACTGAATCACAGAGATTCAGAGACAGGGGGATCTCCGAATTGAGACCAGCCAGGACGATGTTGTGGATTATGACTCTGAATTGAGACCAGCCCGGACTATGACCCTTTTTTAACTAAATAAGTAAACAAAATAGTTAAAATTTCATGTCTTTGGGCTTGGAACAATCTTACTCAGTTGTAAAGAGTTTGCCTCAAAAGCATAAGGACCTGAGTTTGATTCCAAGAACCCACATAAAAAAAAAAAACACAAACCAGGCATGGTGGTGTGTGTTTGTAACTCTAACTGGGCAAGTCGGGACAGGGGATCCCTGGGGCTCACTGGCCAGCCTAGCCTGATTGGTGAGCTCCAGGCCAGTGAGAGACCCTGCTCAGAGGAGGTGAATGGAGTTTCTAAGAATAACACCCAAGGTTGTCCCCTGGCCTTTGCCCATGCATGAACATACGCTCACACCCATGTACACATACACATGAATAAATAAAAAATTCATGTCTTTACTGTATATGTAGCATGTTGCTTTGAAGTATCCATCAGTAGCTGCAGGTAGTAGCTCTCATTCCTGATGTGACCAGTGCTGGCAGGTGCAGCTCAGCTGCTGTCTCTTGAGTGCTTGGGACCAGAGGTGTTTTTCACAGTCTTCTGAGAACCTGTAAATGCTCCAAACTCCAAAATGTTTTGAGGCTCAAAGTAAAGTACCCAATTTTGGAGCATTTCAGATTTTGGGTTCTTAGAGTAGGACTCTTCCACCTGTATGCAGTTCTAGGTTGTGGTGTGATGCTTATGCTGTCTCTGTGATTTTGTGTGGACAGTGTTGCTGAGCTATATATGCAGCAAAGTGCACTAGGTTTCCCCACTAAATTTTGGTGTTATTTTCCCATAATCTTCTGGCTTCTGCCACTCTAGTGATAAATGACATTTTGGTCTGATGGCATCTTGTAGATGAATGTGTCTTTTTGCTCTCCCTAACTGTCAGATGCTCTTTATCTTTGATGACCTGCAACCTCACTGTTGGGAGTAGGTGTGGATATCTATTTATTTATTTTTCTTGTGATAGAGTGGGCTCACCGAGTCTCAGCACTGGTGTTTTCTGTGCTGCCCAGCAGCCTCCCATCCAGTTGTGTTAGCTTCCACTGACCATCTTGTCTGAGTCCTCACATCTGCTGTGTTCTAACTGCTCTTTTTCCACATTCCCTCAGATGGTTCCACAAGGAACCATCTTCCTTTTCTTCTGCCTCTTCTTTTTCTTTTTTAAAGAAATGTCACAGTGAACTCATAGATTTTTCCTCCTTTTCAAGAGACTTGTCATGTACACAGTAAAAAAGAACAAGGATGTGCAGAGAGCTCCCATAGACCGCCTCACCCCACACATGCACAGCCTTTCCCACCACAGCAACCTACTCCAGAGCTGTGAGTTTGTCACCCAGAGTCTTATTTACACAGGTCTGGTTCTGTGCTGCAGGACCTGGGTTTTGACACCTGTGTGATAGTATCTGTCTGCATTTCAGTGTCAGGTGATTTGACACATAAGATCCTTGTGCACTCCCTTATTCATTGCTGCATCCCTCATCCCTTCATCCTCCCCTTCCTCCCTCTATCCTCCCCTCCCTCCCTCCATCCCTCCCTCATCCTGCCATCTCTCATCCATACCTCATTGCTCCATCCATCATCCCTCCATCCCTTATCTCTCCATCCCTCACCTCTCCATCCCTCACTCTCTATCCCTCCATCCCTCATCCCTCCTTCCCTCATCCCTCCATCCTTCATCCCTCCATCCCTCTTCCCTCCATCCCTCATTCCTCTATCCCTCATCCCCCATCCCTCATTCCTTATCCCTCATCCCTCCATCCTTTCATCCCTCATTCCTCATCTTTCATCCCTCCATCCCTCCATCCTTCATCCCTCATCCCCAGCCCCACAGATGTCTTAACAGTGACATTATATGGCCTTTCCTCATTGACATCTTTACTTGAAATACCCATTAAGGTTCTTCCTTGTCTTTTTATGGCTTGATAAGCCAGTTTTTATTTTAATTATTCTATATGTGGCAAATGCATGTGTATACATTGGAGGCCAGAGGCTGATGTTGAGCATCTTTCTTGATTGCTCTCTGTTGTTGTTAATTATCATTTGAGACAGAGTCTCACTATGTAGTACTGATAGGCCTGGAACTTGCTATGTAGACCAGGCTCGCCTCAAACTAACAGATTACCTGTCTCTCTTTTCCAAGTGCTGGGATTAAAGGTGTGTACTACTGTGCCTGCCTCCACTGTGGTTTTTGGTAGCATCTCTCACTGACTCTGTGCCCTCCTTTGTCCATCTTCTCAGAGCTGGGATTAAAGGTGTGTACTACTGTGCCTGCCTCCACTGTGGTTTTTGGTAGCATCTCTCACTGATGCTGTGCCCTCCTTTGTCCATCTTCTCAGAGCTGGGATTACAAGCACATGCCGCCACATTCAACATTTTCTCTCATGGGTTCTGGGATTTAATTCAGTTCATGCGTGCAAAGCAAACACTTTACCAACTCAGCTATCTCCCCAGCATGCATTTTTTTGTTTGGTTTGTTTAGAGACAGGGTCTCAATTTGCAGCTTTGGCTGGTCCAAACCAGCCTATATAGACCAGGCTGGCCTTGAACTCAAAATGATCCTCCTGCCTCTGCCTCTGGAGTGCTGGGATTACATGCTCATGTTGCTACACCTGGCGTGTGTATGTAGGTGCTGGGGTTTGAACTCAGGCCTTGCAAGGCAGGTGCTTTACTGATGAGCCATCCCCCTAGCTCTTTGGATATGTAGTTTTAGAGACAGTCTTCCTATGAATCATAGGCTGCCCTTGAATTTCATGGATTTTCATTTGGATATTTATGTGATTGAATCCCCATAATTTTTAGATATGTAGTATTTTTTTTTTGGTCTTTTTTTTTTTTTTTTTTTTTGAGACAGGGTCTCCCTGTAGCCCCAGGTGTCCTGGAACTCACTATGTAGACCAGGCTGGCCTTGAGCCTCTGCCTCCTGAGTGCTGGAATTAAAGGTGTGCGCCTCCATGCCCGGCTTCAAATCTTTTTTCTTTTCTTTTTTTCAGTCTTTTTGAAGCAGGGTCCCCCTGTGGCCCCAGCTGTCCTGGAACTCACTATGTAGAGCAGGCTGGCCTTGAACTCACAGAGATCTGCCTGCCTCTGCCTCCCAAGTGCTGGGACTATAGGCATGTGCCACCACACCCAGCTTCAAATCATTTTTATATGTCAATTTTCATTTAACATTTTCCCTTTGATCCAGTGGTTTTCGCCCAAGTGCTGGGGATTAAACCTGGGTCTTTGCACTTGTCAAGCACATGCCTTACTCCACTGAGCTGTACCTCCAACTTTTTTTTTTTTCCTTGGTTGGTTGTGTTTTTGAGACAGGGTCTCCCCGTAGCCCCAGCTGGCCTGTAACTCACTATGTAGACCAGACTGGCCTTGAACTCACAGAGATCCGCCTGCCTCTGCCTCCTAGTGCTGGATGCACCACCATGCCTGACTCCAGCCTATTTTTATACATTGATGTTGATTTTGAATCCTGCAGCTCACTGAATCTACTAGTTCTACTAGAACCTTTTTGGACTCTGTGTGTGTTTGTGTGTGTGTATACATGCACATCTGCGTGTTTGTGTGTGTGTTTGTATGTGTACTGGTGTTGTCACTCAGGCACCGTCTACCATTTGAGACAAGTTCTCTCACTGGTCTGTGACTGGCCAAGCAGGCTAGGCTAGCTGCCAGCAGGTCCCAGAGGTTTGCCTGTGTCCACCTCCCAGTGCTGGGATTACAGGGATGTGCTACCATGCCCCAGCTTTTTTCTGTGGGTTTGACATGTTTCTTTCTCCTCCTTCGTAGTTACTGCTCCCAGGCTACAGGCTGGCCTGCCTTTGTGTGCTTTCCTCCCTTGTGCCCCTAACATTGACTCTGAACAGGCACTTCATGTACAGCCCCAGCTCCTTACCCTGTCTGTTCCTTTTAGTCTTACTGCTTAACTGCAGGGCCTCTTGTTCCCTTGCTTGTCTGACTCCCCATCCAGGAAGGGCTAAGCTCCAGATTAAGGCAGAGCTCTCCTGTGATTCCTGCTATCCCCAGACTGCACAGAGGATCACATGGCATGCAGGGGTGGTAGGGCCCACAGGTTTGTGGAGGAGAAGGTTTTTCACACAGAAGCAAATAAAGTGGTAAGGAGGTGCCTGCCAAATTGAGATCTTACTCATGCTTTGTAGTAGTAATGTACACTGTGATAAAGTTTGCTTATAGTAATTCCAAGTGTTTTATGCCTTGGGGTTTTGGATTATAGTCACTGAGTTTCCAGGAAAACTTTTGCAGATAGTGTGTCTTACAGGCAAAAGCAATGGAAGTTAAGAGTCTTGGATCTTGGCTGGCTCATGTGTTCTCTGTGCTATCTAAGCTGAGGAACAGCACCTGACCTGACCTCACCTGCAGGAGCTTTCTTGGGCAAACCCAGTCATATCCAGGTTCTCAGGCAGCAGGGCTCTTCAGCCTTGAGTCATACTTGTGTACCTCATTTTGACAGGAACAAGAGCTGGTCGGGGCCGCAGTCTGTGTCGGAGCGGAGCAGCGTGCTGGTGTTTTTGCCAGGTGTGGATGCTACCATTTTGTGACTGGGATGTTAACACTCTGGGCAGCGTATATTTTGAAAACTGGTATTCGTTCCTGTTCTCTTCAACATAGAACGTGAATAGCGAGACTTTCATTTTGACTTCTTAAAAGATTTCATGGCCAGGCGTGGTGGCGCATGCCTTTAATCCCAGCACTCAGGAGGCAGAAGCAGGCAGATCTCTGTGAGTTTGAGGCCAGCCTAGTCTAGGTAGTTCCAGGCTAACTGGGGCTACAGGGAGACATGTCTGAAAAAAAAAAATCTAAAATGAGGTGAACACTATTGAAACTGCTAAACACTGCCCCAACGAAACGTTCAGAAGTGATACTGTTGTACATGTAGGTTTGTGGTCTTTCTGCTACAGGCTAACGTAAATTCCGGCTTGGGTATATGTTTGTATATTTCACTAACTGACTCGTTTTGAGTCATTCTGTGTTAGCGTTTTCAGGACTTCTCTAGTAAGATGCCACAAATTGGATGGCTTAGAACCACAGTGATGTGTCTTTAAATTATACTGTCAGAAGGCTGGCACTCCTTTCAGGCACTGGATCTTTCTAATTCTGTGTCCTCAGGCTTTTGGGGCTCCTTGGCTTGTGGCTGTACCAGTCTGTACTGTTCCACACCTGCTGCCACCATGTGGCATCTCTGTGACTCTGGTCCCTCCCAGCTTCTTAGGAGGGCAGCAGCACTGTTGGATAAAGGCCCAGGCTACTCAGTCAATCATGACCTCACCCTAGCTGATTCTGTTCACAATGACATTTCAAATAAAGTTACATTCTGAGTTACTAGGGTTATAACATCACTGTAATTGGGGGGACACAACTGAACTCATACAAGAGTCAAATGTTGTTAATTGAGAATAAGGCAAAAGCACATGCAAATGTTAAGTCATTAGACATTTTCAAAGCTATTTAAAAGGATTTGGCATATCTCTGTGAGCAAGTCACAATGTAAACCACATTCACCCCTCCTCCCTTGGTCCCAACAACAAAGTGACCTACTGCAGTCTGGGAAACCAGTGAGTTTATTGGGCTTACTTTCAGAGCAGTGAGTGAGGGTGTCCCCCCACTCAGGCTTCACTGTAAAGTCTTCACCCAAGCATGGATAGTGGCTTCCCCATAACCACGTAAAATGGTGAGAGGACCTCCCCTAGACTTCCCCAATCTATATACTCTTTGCCCCTTCCTCAGGCCACTTGCAACTAGGGCCACCTGATTGGTTGGGAGGTATGGCTGGACTCTCACGCATGGCCCTGTGACTCTCCCTGCCCCTCCCTCCCTTCCTTGCTGGGGCTTGAACAGTTAACAGTCTGAGACAAGCAGGTACAGCCAAGCTTGGAAGATGGCTCCTGTCTGTCAGAGGACAGTCTTATACAACAAATTTTTAAAAGTAGCGTTATAGTTTTGTATTCCTGGGGATCAAAACCAGGGCCTTATTCATGTTATGTAAAAACACTGCTACTGAGTTACACCCTGGACCAAATTTTTTGTTTTGCTTTGTTTTTAAATCTTATTGAGCGTTTCATACATGCATATAAGGTGTTTTGATCAAATCCATGCCCTCTCCCTCCCCTTCAACACCTGTATCTCCCCATCACTTTTTCTGACAACTTTGTGTTCTCTCTCTGTCTCTGTCTCTCTCTCTCTCCCCCTCCTTCCCCTTTCTTTATGGGGCTTTTTGCTACTCTAACATTCCCCCCTCTGAAGAGGTAACCCTAAAATCTTTTAGGGATTAGATAAGAGCTCCCAAGTACTTTTGACATTTTTGTCTTTTGGAACAGAGTATGTTGCTAAGAGGCCCAAGGACATTTTGACTTTTAGCCAAAAAACTGGCTACTTTTCTTTGGAGTCTTTTTACCTTAAATGCCTAGCCAATTCCTACCTCCTGTTCTTACCACACCATCCTCTGAATAGGTTACCTAAATTGCCAACAGGGAATCGGGACCCAGACTGCTCTGGCTTTTTCCATGCTAAACAGGGACTCTGGGTAAGGCAATTGGAGTACTCCTTCAGTGGGTCTATCAAAAAGACTCCCAAATTACATAACTCTTATGATCATGTGGAGGCAAGATCCAGGCGCTCTCAGGTGGGTCCCCTGATTTCTCAGCCCCTATGCCAGAGGGAGGCTAGAACCAGGTACCTTGTTTGGCTTTCTTTTGAGATAGGGTCTTGATATAGCACAGGCTGGCTTTAAACCCAAGATCCTCTTGCCTCCACCTCCCAGATGCTGAGATTTTAGACATGAGCTACCATGTCAGACTGCAAAAAAATTTTTTGATAGGGATAAAAATAAATGTGCAGTTTATTCACATGGCCAACTCTGACCAACAGTTACTGCTCTGGCAAGGAAAACAATGGGAAAATGTAGATAGTTGAAAATAATTTTGAGTTACTGCTAGATAATGTCATAGTGTATTTCTGCTTATAATTCTGCTATATTTAGGTGAAAAGGATAAAAAGTCAAAATGAACTGGTAAGCTCTTTTATGAAAAAGTTGTCATTTTGTCTTTGGATAAATCTAGTCAAGGTTGTAAAACACCTGCACAGTGAAAACTTTAAGACACTTAGAAGTTGAAGACACCAAGAGATGGAAAGACCACCCATGCTCATGAATTAGGATTAATATTACGAAAATGGCAATTCTACCAAAAACAATCTATGGATTCATTGCAATTCTCATAGAAATTCTAATGCAAATTTTCATAGAAATTGAAAAAAAATCTTACAATTCATATGGAAACACAAAAGACCCAGGATAGCCAAAGCAGTTTCAAGCAACAAAACACTGCTGGAGGGATCACCAACCCTAATTTCAGGTTAGACTCCAGGGCTACAGTAATGAAAACAGTGTGGTACCAGTATAAAAACAGACACATTCATCAGCAGAATAGAGGCCAGAAATACACATTGGAGAAAAGACAGCATTTTCATCAGATGTGCTGGTCAGATTAGATAGCTTCGTGTACAAGAATGAAACTAGACCCTATCTCTCACACTAAAACTCCAAATGAATCAAAGACCTCAACATAGGACCTGATACTCTGAATCTGACAGAGGAGAAAGTAGGGACTACACTGGCACTTACAGACATTAGGAACGGACTTCTTTGAAAGGACCCCAATAGCTCAGACATCAAAATCAGCAATGATTTGATGAGATCAGCAATGATGAGAATTAGCAATGATTGAGAAAGTGGAGCTCAGTAAGCTGAAGTTTCTGCACAGTCAGAGTGGCTAAGATAAAAATGACAGCATGCTGGTGTGGATGTGGGGAAAGGGGAACACTTATTCATGGCTGGTGGGACTGCAAACCAGTGCCGCCACTGTGGAAATTGGTGTGGAGGTTCCTCAAAAGGCTAAAATCAACCTGCCATATCCATCTGCCAGCAAGAAGTGAAAACAGCCTAGAAGTCTATCAACTGATGAAAGGATAATGAAAATGTAGCTCATATACACAATGGGATATTACTAAGGTATTAAGGAAATTGAAAATTGAAATTATAAAATTTGTAGGGAGATGGATGGAGCTGGAAACAGTCACCTGAGTGAGGTCATTCAGACCGAGAAAGACGAATGTTTCATATTCTCTCTCATATGTGGATGTTAGCTTTGAATCTGTAGATGTGTGTGTTTGGACTGGGGTGCCCATATAAGGCAAGAAACTAGTAAGAGTTCATGGTGGGGGATTTCAAAGGAAGGGAGGTAGAAGGCAGGAAGTGTGAAGGGACACAGGGGGCTAGTGGAACAGGAAAGGTTAAATGGGGCTGGTGATGGGAGGGCAGGACAGAGGGAGTAAGGGAGGGATGACCAACATCACAGACCTTTGAAAATTCCCTATGGAAACCTACTGTAGAAGCTTCCTAATACATGTATCTATATATGCATATGGATAGATATGGGGTTTAATTATTTTATGTGTATGAGTGTTATGCCTGCATCTGTGTAAGTGCACCTGTGTTGTGCATTGCCTGCAGAGGACAGAAGAGGGTGTCAGAATCCCTGGAACTGGAGTTATGGATGGTTGTTAGGCACCATATGGGTGCTGGAATTTGAACCCGGGTCTTCTACAAGAACAACCAATGCTCTTAACTGCTGAACCATCTCTCCTGCCCCATATATGGAGTTTAAATGGAGTTACCCTATAATGGGACAGTGCCTCCCCCAGACACCATTGGCCTTATCAAATAAAAAGCCCAGTGCTAGGCATGGGTTATCTTTTTTGGAATTGTTGGTCAGTGGAGTCCCACAGACCCTGCTCCAACATTATAGGCTATTGCTGTTGCTTTTGGTTACGCTCTAGAACTTGGTGGTAAGACCGTACTGATGAAGACATCACATATTGAGTCACAGGATGTGGAGAGGTTAGGCTGGTATGGACCTGGAAGTTTCATCTCTATGCAAGCTTTCCTAGTACTGAAAGACTATGCACACAGTGGGGAATGATAGTTGTTAACCGACATACACAGCTGTGAACCTCATGAGCTACAATAGTGATTGGCCTGGAAAGACATGCCCACTGGTGCAGTCATGGCATGCGTGTTATAGGAATAACCAAGTACCTTTGATTGGATTTAAATCCACTCCACAAGATGGAATTTATGCTTGGTACCATTAACTTGGCCCAAAACCTGTAGCTGACTCAGTCATGGGCCTAGAGGGGAATCTAGTAGTAGTATTCTCCCAGATGGACTAGTGATGACTGTCGGATCAGTGCTTATCTTTATACCCATAGAGTAGTGCACCTCTCAACCCTCAGGAGAGGAGCTTCTTTTTGGAATAAATGCAGAGAATAAGAGATTATGGCACGCCTAACCCTCAGTGGGACACCTGTATCACACCCTTCTCTCCAAGGATCATCGTGGAAGAGGAGGTGGAAAGATTTTAAGAGTCAAGGTGGGGGTAGACTACAACAGAACTGTTTTCTGGACACAGTGGGGAAGTTGCACATATGAACCCACAGTGGTTGTGACAGCGTGTTTGAGACCTGTGCAAGCTCAAGCCTGACAAAATCCCAACTTGGAGGGGGATGTGGGCAGGAAGTCCCCCCCTTCAGGGAACTATTGGCAATGATAACTGCTGGGAGAGGGAGAGTCTGTTTTCTTTAAGGGCACAACCCTTGGTAGGCTCCAGGGAATGGACCCACACCCGAGATATGGGCAGCACAAATTGGACTCTAGACTTAAAAGAAAAGGACACAAAGTTGAGTGGGTAGGTGGGTAGGGGTGGATCTAGGAGATGAGAGGTGAAGGTGGTCAAAATACATTGTATAGAATGCTCAAAGAATTAAATACAATTTAAAAAATCGACTTCAACAACCAGAGCACTGGAATCACCCCCGACGCTATGCTCTGCTTGGCCCTTGTTCATGGTGCATATCGTCAGTTATGTCTGTCGTTGATAATTTTGCTTATTGCTTATTATTGCTTTCTGCTCTAGGATGGGAGTCCTGGGGAGCAGGGATCTTGGCTATATTCAGTGTACATTTGCAGGGCCTGGTACAATGTGTGCAGTAGACCTTTGGTGCATCTCTGTGAACTGAATAAAGATGTAAGGAACATAAGAAAGAAAAAAAGTTGTCGTTTTAATTGACAGGTTAGATGTTAGCAATAAAGTAACATTTGCTTTTTCCCCTTCTTCCTCCAGGTCTGGGTGAGATAAACTATATGCATGAGCTGCTCACAAACATGATTCACAAAAGGTGTGTTTGAAATGAAGCAACTTCATCTTGCTTTCAGAGCACTGCATTGATTATGCCCTGCTTAATTTTAATCACCTCAGTGAATAGTTACTTGGTTTTGTAGCTGATGTGCATCACGTGGTATTTTATCTCGGTGCTTTGTTTCTTAGGTTGCAGGTCTATCCACTCCATTCCAGTGTGACTTTAGAAGAACAGAACAATGTATTTTTAAGTCCTGTCCCTGGGTACAGAAAGGTAGGAGGGCTGCGAAGACACGGTCTGAACACATACTCTTCATGCTGATACTTGGACCCCTTTCCCAGCAGACACCTGCCAAGGAGCCACGTTGCAGCTTCATTTTGTGTGGGACTAAATCAGTTTGCTAAAAAGCTAAGATTGCTTGCTTTTTGAAACAGAGCATTGCTATGTAGCCCAGGCTGGCTGTGAACTTGCAGTCCCTTGCTCCAGCCTCCTGAGTGCTGGGGTCATAGGTGTGCACCATGGCCCTGCCCAGCAAAACTAAGATTTTCACTCTCTGAGTCCAGAGCACTGCTGCTAGTGAGTTTGATGCCTTTCGGCTATTCTCTGGCACCTCTCAGGCTTTGGGAGTGTTCTGGAATTCCTGGAACTCTTCTGATGACTTTGCTGCAGGCTGAGAGTGCAGTCCTCTGAGGTTGTTGGGTATTGTTACTGGGACTTGGAGCTCATGGTCTAAATTCTGACAGCCTTGAGAATGTTTGGAATTTTTAGGGCAGATTAGACCTTGAATGCTACTCCAGGTGCTTGGGGTGACAACCTTTGCTCTGGATTGGATTTACATGTGTTTCTTTGCTCTTGGTAATTCCACTACCTCTACCCTAAAGCTTCCACAACAGAGTCAGGAGTAGTTCCTTGACCATGTCCTGCCTGCTTCTTTTAAGCCCCTGGTTTGGCTCTGGCTGGTTTTCCATGCATCAGAAGCTCCTTGATAGAGGTGACCTGCATGAAACAGGAAGATGGTTACAGTTTTGAGCTCAGTCTATTTACACTAACGTCCAAGATTGAGACCCTTTTCTAACTACAATGCTGTCCACAACAGAAGGAAGATGCCAACACCTCTTGTTTAATGCTCCACAGATTATTCTGTCCACCAACATTGCAGAGAGTTCTGTCACAGTTCCAGATGTCAAATATGGTAAGGTCTTTCTCTGCTTGTCTCCCCATGAAAACTGTGGCATCAGCAGGCCTCCCTGTCCCCCAAGAGTTGTTCCCCTGCCCTCACCTTTCTCAGTGGTTTGGAAGAGACTCAGAGGCTCACAAGGGTCCTCCTGTCGTCCATCCTCTCAGCTCATGACTGCTTCCTCTAAGCATTCCTTCTCACTCAGGCAGGGCTGCCTCTAGGGAGTGCCAGGGCATTTCAGGGGGCTTTGTGGGAAGCTGAGCTTTGGGGCTGTCCTGGTAGGGTTCTGTGATAGAGAGGGATGCAGGTGCTGGGAGGGGCCCAAGGAGCCTCTGTTTCCGAAGGTAGCTTAGAAGGAAGCCACTCCTGCTCCGTTGTCTGGTCCTCAGTGTGTGTGTGCTTGGTAAGTAAGTGTGAGCTGATCACTCGTGAGTTTCCTGTGTTCATTAATTGTGTTTGAGAGCTCAGTGTATGACGTGAAGCCAGGGGTATGGTACCACGGCAAGTCAAACAAAGTCTGTGTCATCACAGTGACTACCTTCTGGTGGGAGACAGGAGTAGCGGATTAAAAACTGCAGTTTTATGTAGAGACATGCTACACAGGAAAAGACATCAGGAAAAGAGTTAGTGGCTCTTCGATAAGGTGACATGGGAATAGTTCGCTGAGACCTAAGCTGAAAAGTGAGCTGTGCAAAAATGTGATTCAAACATAAGGAACAGTTTAGGAGCAAGAAGGAACAATTGGGCAAATCCTCGGGGGAGAGAGTGGTGGCTAACGTGTGTTTTGTTTCTAGTAGCAGAAATCGTGGAGACAAAACACAAGTCATTCAGGGGTGAGTCAAAAGATGATAAGTGACACAAACAGATTGTGAGTTAGCAATAGTGAGCTCAGGAAGAGGCCAGGGAGGGCGGGGGCCGGGGCGGTTATTGTGGAAGGAAGGTCATGGCATCAGCAGGAATGGCCAGGGCAGCCTCTCTCAGAGGGGGCATGGGAGTCATGGTTGGTGTGGTCCTGAAACAGCAGAGGCAAGGGCTTCCAGACCAGGGCAAGAGAGGGGAAAGCCGTGGGGCTCTGGGTCACAGACACAGGGCCTCACAGGACTGCTTTGCCAGGTGAGGTGGAGAAGAGATCACGTGATCTAAAGTCATTTACCAGCATTGCTCTGGGTGTAGACTGGAGTGGGACAAAGGAGAGAGGACAGAAGCTGAGTTCAGAAGGTCCTGATACCTGGGTGAGAAGTGGTGGGTTTGAAGGGGAGCAGCCAAGGGAATGGAGGTATCCAGTGCTGGGTGGATTCTGAAGGCAGGAACAGAGATTTGCTGAGGTACTTTCTATGCAATTGTGATATGTAGGCTGAGGAGCCTCCAGAAGAAAGTACAGACTGACAGGAGCAGGCCAGGTAGGTTGCTGAAGACCACCAACGGTGGTGTGAGTCTGGAGAACCAGGGTCAGCAAGTGTTCAGTGCATGATGTCCAGATTGAGATAGCACCAGGATTTAATGGTGGGAAATGAAAGGGGAATTGCAGAGGGTGGCAGTGAGGCAGGAGGAGAGCCAGGTTAGCATATAATCTTGGAATCAAGGAATGAAGTAGGGAGGAGGTCAGGAACATACTTCAATCTAAGGGGTGGGGCAAGAGAACTACTGAAAACTGGCTTTCTGAATTCACAATTTTAATGCTGTCAGTGGCTTAGATAAGGGTGGTGGTGGTGAAGGCAAAACTGCCTACTTGCAGTGCACTAGGAAGGAAAGGGAGGCGGTGCTTTAGGAAGCATGGAGTTGGTTCTTTTGAAGGCTCTGCCATAGATGCAGCAGTTACAGGTGAGGTGACGCTGTGGGTGTGAGAACATATTCTTTCATACAGGGACCTGCAAGTGCTTTTGATGGGCGGGGTTGGGGGGAAGTGCCGTAGAGGATGACACTGGGTACGTGGGCAGCCAATTTATGGTCCCCTAGAGAAGGCTGATTGTGGAGGATGGAGGCAAGCAGGAAGGAAATGTGGCCTTGGAGCTTCCAGGGCGCCTATTGCCTACCCAGCACATAAAAGTTGTGGCCCTTTCTTGGTGCGGAGAGACAGAGTAGAAAAGACCTGGAATAGCCACGTGTAGGTGGCTGAGGAGATGGACAAGTATCTAGGAAGGAAGGGCCTGTGTGGTTTCCTCTTAGCACCAGGCTGCATGATGTTGGTATAGATCTGTCATCACGGGGTTGTGCTGGCATCAGAGGCTTGGACAGGGTGGGACATCGGGGAGGCTGAGCTCTGCCTCCATTGCTCCTAGACTTGAAGGTGGATGGTCTGTTATGAGGTAGCTAATAGGGAGGAGATGGAAAGCTCCAAGTCCCAACGGGGAGAAAGATGGCTGGGGTAGGGCTTCACCAGCAGGGAACAGAGGTAGGTGCTCTGGCTTGAAACTGGGATGGAGGAAGGAGTGCTGTGGCCTGTCAGGCTAGAGGGTGTGGTGACAGGAAGATGTTGCTGAGCAGGGTGGAAAGCAAGGGTGTTGGAGGGGAGTCTTCAAGGCCCTGAGAAATGATAGGCTCAGCACTGTTTTTGTTGTTCTTGAAATCACCAAAAGTGTATGAGGACATATGTCAGAGGACTGGGGAGCCAGATGTGGGGTGCATGCTATGTGGCACAGCCAGCACGAGGAGGACAGTGGCAGTGAGGAGGCACACTCAGCATGGAGGGGAAGACAGAAGCCAGTACTGTTTCTCCAGAGGACAGTTTCCTTCACAGGATAGGAGGTGCTGTCCAGGGGGGAACAGAGGTTACTTATCACCGGAGCCTAACAGATGAGGACCTGGAGGCTCAGAGAATTAAGCAACTTGTTCCACCTACTAGCAGTCACACAAGACAGGCATAGAGACAGAAATGAATGCAGGACATTGGCCTCTCTGCCCCACTTAACTCTTACTATTTCCTTGGAGTCACTGTCATCTTTTGGGTGATTATAGGCAGGCCCTTCATATGATACTTTGGGATTTACTTCTAGTCCTGATCTAGAAAGAGACCTCAGTTTTCTGTGGTAGGTGGTGGTGATCAGTTAGCATACTCCTAGAGGTTTCCACAAGCTTGCCAATTCCAACAGCTCCATGTTCACATTGTTTATCACTGGACAATGTTGTTACCAATGATCTCACGTTCGCATCGTTTTTATACTTTTTTTGAAATGCCAGTTATAGATTTTTGTCTGACCAGGACTCTGGTTTGTGATGAAGATACAAATTACCAGAGTCTGCGACTGAGTTGGGCCTCTAAGACCAGTTGTGACCAGAGAAAAGGTAAGACTTTCGTGGCAGAACACCCAGGCCACTGTGGGGCGCCCGGCCTGCAGGGTGCTCAGAGCTCGTCTCATTATCATTCTCACCCAGGTGTTTTCATCACTGGAACGTTTACTGCAACAAAACAGACAAAGCCCCTTGATCAGTTCTTCCCTTGAGGGAGATGCTGTTTTAGGCGTTTTCTTTCTTCATTTAGTTCTTGTGACAAATGGAGTTGGACATCCATTGTTAGTAATATTCCAATTTGAGATGGAGGGAACATAGTAACCACTCAAAAGTTCTCAGAGAGGTAGGGTTGAGATTTGACCTAGGAATCAGGCTTCAGGCCTCTTTCTGACTGCTGTGCTATCTCCTTTGCCTGAAATGCCTTGTGCAGAGAGGACTGAGCTGACGGAGAAACCATTTCAGCCTGGCCACAGAGTCTTATCAGAGTGAAAATCTGTATCAACCTGGGTGGTGGTGGGGGTGGTCAGAGTTAGGTGAGAAAGGAGCATTAAACAGTCATGTCACTATGTCTCACTTTTCTCCCATCCCTCCAAAAAAACTGCTTAGAAACATGACCAAAGGGACTGGGGAAATGGCTCAGCACTTAAGAGCATTGGCTGCTCTTGCAGAGGAACTGGGTTCAGTTCAAGCACCCACATTGTAGCTGACAGCTATCTATAACTCCAGTTCCAGAGGTTCAGACACCCTCTTCTGACCTCCATGGGCTTTGCATGACATGGGTGCACCTACATATATGCAGGCAAAATACTCATATGAAGTAAAAATAAGTCTTTAAATAAAAGAAAAATGGCTAGAAATAAACCCATAAACATGTTACAGGTGATCATCTGGGTCAGTCCTGGGTTATCCTTTGCTTGTTTCTTTTATCTTTAAAATTCCTATAATTAGAACAATGTTTGTCATCAGTTTTTCCCCTATGAGAAATTGAAAACTAGCAGGTAGAATCTGTGGACTCCTCCCCCTCAGCTCCCATGCGTGGTCTGAAGTGAGTCCCTCCATCAGTTCAGTCCTGCTGGGTTGGCCTCCTGTGGCTGCATTGGACCTGCATTCCTGTGTGGTAGCTTCTTGTGATGATTCCTGGCTGGAGCACAGAACAGCCCCAGTGCTGGGAGGGTCTGCCCTGCACTATCCCTGCCCCATTGTCTGTGCAGGCCCTCACCCTGCCTTCCACCTTGTAGATTTGTCATTTCCAAGAGGTTCCACAGTGGAGTCACACAACATATGGGGGCTTTGGAGAGTGACAAAAGTCCAGTCAGGCTGCTGAGGCTGCTGGGACCTCATTCCTTTGTATTACTGATCATATTCCATTGCGTGGCTACTGTCAGGGCACAGCGCAGCTGGGAATCTTCATGTTGCAGGTTTTTGTGTGACCCTGTTTTCATTTCTCCAGGGCAAATGTAATCACTGGGTGATGTGATTTTTATATACGTGTGTGTGTGTGTGTATTTGTAGTTTTCTAAGAATCAGCCCCAAACTGCTTCTGTAGTGGCCACAGCATTTTCCCCCCACCTCCCAAGAGTGAGCACCCCGCCTGCACATACACTGGCAGACGGCACCAGTTTTCCATTCTAACCATCAGTGGATGTGTTACACCACCCCATGTGATTCTGACTTGCAATTCTGTGATGGTTCGTACAGTTAAGCAGTTTTTAGGTTTGCTTACTATTTGTAGCTCCTCAGTGAATGCCTGTTTTTGTCTCTTACCCTTTTAATTTTTGAGTCAGGGACTTAACCATGTAGCCCTAACTGGCATTGAACTCACTGTATAGACCAGGCTGGCTTTGAACTTGGAGAGATCCTGCTGCCTCTGCCTCCCAAAGGCCGGAGTTACAGATGCCTGCCACCATGTCCAGCTTCTTAAGCCCATTTTTAAAATTGGATTCTTTGTGTTTTCACTGTCCTTTGCAAATGTCTCCTCTCATTCTCCTACAGGGTCTTTCGCAGAGGAAAAATTTCTAAGTGTCGTGGGCTCCGGTTTCCCAGTTTTGCCATTATAGGCATTATAGGCAATATGCGGAAGTTCTTTATGTAGCTCTTGGTCTCCGGACACTTTCCTTTTGCCTTCTTATAGAAGCTTTAGAGTTCTATGGGGGTTTTTGGTCTTTTTGAGACAGGGTCTCCCTGTAGCTCCAGCTGTCCTGGAACGCACTATGTAGACAAGGCTGGCCTCGAACTCACAGAGGTTCACCTGCCTCTGCCTCCTGAATGCAGGGACTGCAGGCGTGCGCCACCACGCCCGGCTATATTATGTTTTGTACTTGTATTATTTTGCATTAATTTCCATTTAGTCATTTGTGTGCTAGGTGTGTACTTTGAATCCAGGTAATTTCTCTACCTATGGATGTTCAGTGGCTCTGGAGAGAGCCTTCCTGTTACCTTGTGTCTGTTCTCTTGTGAGATGGTTGGTCAAGGTGTGGCCACAACAGGGGGAAGATGCAGGAGAGGCTTGGGGAAGTAAAAGTCACAGTACTCACAGGCAAGACAGGAGGTGCAGCCCACTAACAGGGCATGTGGGAGAGGTGCCTGCCAGTCTGCACAGAGGTGAGCGAGGGCAGGGCTGAGGCGAGGCCTTCACTGGACTTTCTGATGAGAAGACTAAGCAGGAGGATGGCTCAGGACTGGCTAGTTTGTGTAACTTTGGGGAGACATTGGATGATGGGGTGATTCCTTGCTGAGTGACACCTGGCCCTGATTCTATTTTCACAAAGGAACATTGCCTTCTAGGTGTTAGTCTTGGATTTGTTAATTAGTTCTAAGAAGTTTTTTTTTAATTATTTTTTAACTTAAAAAAATTATTATTTTTATTTTATGTGTATGCATGTATTGCTTGCATGTAGGTAAGTGTACCCGTGGTGTGCAATGCCTGTGGCAGTCAGAAGAGGTTGTCGGATCCCCTGGGACTGGAGTTATGGACAGTTGTTAGCTGCCATGTGGATGCTGGGATTCGAACCTGGGTCTTCTGCAAGAGCAACCAGTGTTCTTAACTGCTGAGCCATCTCTTCAGCCCTGAGGATTTGTTTTTACTCCACAAATGATATAGTAACACATAGGAGTGACAGTTTTTGTCACCGTATCCTTGGGCTGAACTTGGCTCTGAATTCTTTGAGTGTGCACGTGTTTAGTATAAAGCAGCCATCCTGAAGGATGCATTGCAGAGAGATGAAGCATATGGACAGACAGAAGCAGTGCACCTGGACAGGTGGGGCTCACTTCTCTGACAGGTATCCGCATCCTTGCCCCAGGTGAGCCAAAGCCTCTGCCCCAGCCCCATGGCTTTTCTTTGGTGAGCTCTGTTCTTACTAGCATGAATTGAGTGTTGTGGGAATTATGTAATGACACACAAAGTAATGTGTTCTGCTTTCCCCTGCATTTGAGCAGAGTTTCTTTTGAAGCATGCATTGGACTTTTAAACATTGAGTAGAAGGTTGCACTTAATATTATTTTAACTTATTCTGACTTAAGGCAGGTGTTACATGGAATAAATTTAGAATAACAACAATTTATTAGGTATGCACAGACTTTAAATTTTTATGGCCTAGTCTGCTAGAAGATAAGTTTTCCTGATCGGTGTTGCATTTCTCTTCACACTGATGTCAAAATGATCATGCCAAGTGGGCTTGAGCATCTCTCTCTTGCAGGCCGTGCTGGACGAGTGTCTAAAGGATACTGTTACAGACTGATACACAGGGATTTCTGGGACAGCTCCATCCCTGCTCATGTTGTTCCTGAGATGTTGGTAATGAACTTTGGTCATTTTCAGAGTTAGATTTTTAAATTTTATTTATATTTATTTTGTCTCTGAGACAGGGTCTCCCTGCAGCCCCAGCTGGCCTGGAACTTACTTTGTATACCAGGCTGGCCTTGAACGCACAGAGATTTGCCTGCCTCTGCCTCCCAAGTGCTGGGATTAAAGACATGTGTCACCACTCCATGCAGTGCCTGGACAAGTTAGCTTTTTAAAAAAATATATCGTTTTTATTCTATGTGTATGAGTGTACAGCCTGCATGTATGTAAGTGCCCTCAGAGGTCAGAAGAGGGCTTCAGATCCCCTGGAATTGGAGTTTGGACCATTGTTAGCCCCCATGTGGGTGCTGGGAATTGAACCCGAGTCCTCTGCAAGAACAGCCAGTGCTGTTAACCACTGAGTCATCTCTCCAGCCCCCAGAGTTAGCTTTTTAGTATGTCTGATTTTGAGTGTCATATAACTTTGATTCCAGAAAAGTCAGTGGCTGCTCTCCATGATTCAGTACTAGCTTAGTGTTTATTCAGCAGTGCGTGTTCTAGTCTAGCCTTATCACTTCTTATGTTCTTAATCGTGTGTACGTATATGTGTGTGTGAGTGCATGTGTAGAGGCCAGAGGATGACCTCAGCTGCCATTCCTCGGGTGCTCTCCACCATTTTTTTTTAAGGATATGGTCTCTCACTGGCCTGAAATTCAGCAACTAGGTTAGGCTGGCTGACCAGTGAGCCTCAGGGCTTCAGCTATCTCTGCCTCCCCGGCACCAAGATTTCAAATGTATACTGGATTTTAAAAAGAAAAAAAATGCTTTAGGAGCTGGACAGATGGCTCAGCGGTTAAGAGCACTGACTGCTCTTGCAGAGGACCCAGGTTCAATTCCCAGCACCCACATGGCAGTGAAGAACTGTCCTTAATTCCAGTTCCAGGGGAATCCAACGCCCTCTTCTGACCTCTGCGGCATTGCACGACATGGGTGCACTCACATACATGCAGATAATACACTCGAACACATACAAAAATACTTTAAAAATGCTTTATTTTTATTTTTATGTGTATGAGTGTGTTGCCTGCATGTATGTAAGTGCATCCGTTTCGTGCAGTGCCTGCAGAGGTCAAAAGAGGGTTTTGGATCCCCTGGAACTGGGGTTATGGACTGTTAGCTTCCATGTGGGTGCTGGGTATCAAACCTGGGTCCCCTTGCAAGAGCAGCCAGTGTTCTTAAGTGCTGAGCCATTTCTGTAGCCTCTCAGCCCTATTCTTAATTCTTTCCTTTTTCTTCTTTTTATTTTATGTGTATGAGTGTTTTGCCTGCCTGTTTGTGAGTGCACCACATGTGTGCAGTGCCCAGAAGAGGGTGTCAGTTCCCCTGGCACTGCTATGGGGTGCTGAGAATCAAACTCAAGTCATCTGCAAGAGCAGCCCGTGCTCTTAACCTCTGAGCCATCTCTCTAGCTCCCGTGTTCTTAATTCTCAGTGAGAGGAATGTCTCCTAGTGTCTACTATCTCCATAACATCTCTTACAGACTTGTGCCTTTTATAAAGAGTAACCATGAGCCCGGCCTGGTGGCACACGCCTTTAATCCCAGCACTGGGGAGGCAGAAGCAGGCAGCTGTTCTCCCTCCTCTTTGTCTCTCCCTAGCGCTCTCTGCTCTCTCGCCCTCTTTTCCCTTTGTTTCTCTCCATCTTTCCCCCCTAGTTTTGGTCTTTCTCCCTTTCCCTCTCTTTGGCTTCTTTTTTGAGACAGAGTCTTGCTATTGTAGACAAGGTTGGTTTGAAACTCACAGTCCTCTTGCCTCTGCTTGCTTCCCAAGTGCTGGGATACAGGCGTGCATTGCAGTGCTGTGCCTGCCCCCCTCTTCCCTCTCCCTCTTTCTGTCTTTTGTTTGTTCATTTTTTGAGACAGTTGTAGCCAATCTGAGCTCCTGGGTGGTAGGTGCTGTGCACCACCCCTGGCTCCCTTCTCCTTTCTAACCCTCTCTGTTCTCACAATCTGTTGCTTTTTCTCTTTCGCATTCTCTCTCTAAGCATGAGTCGTGTGGCTAGGCCGTTTGGTTACCTTCTTGTTTCTGATTGAAGTTTGGTTCTTTTCAGCGTTGTCCCTTGGGAAGCACAGTACTGAAAGTGAAGCTACTTGACATGGGTGAACCGAGAGCTCTGCTGGCCACTGCCCTGTCTCCACCTAGTCTGAGTGACATCGGGCGCACCATCCTTCTGCTAAAGGAGGTAGGACTTGGGGGCTCACCAGTGGTAGGGAAAGCTGAGATTTTTTACTTTGGAGGGGAAACCTCAATTTCATAAGCCTTAAAGTTGTTTACTTTGTAAATGCTCTGCTGTGACTCCAGCACCATGCCTGTTCTGGGGACTAGCTTTGTTGGTGTTTCTGAAGCCCACCCCTCTCCTCCCTTGTGATCCCATCCTGAGAAGCCTCTAGAGCTCTGGCTGTCTCTGCCCCTCTGGTCTCTCCTCTGTCCTCTTCCTCCACCTCATACTAGCCCTCTTGCCTGTTGGGTAAGGCTCTGTTCTTCCTACTTGACTTCCAGAGACCACTTTGTTTTTGAGACAGGGTCTTGTTATATCCCCAGCTGGCCTGGAGCCTACTATGTAGACCAGGTTGGCCTTGATCTCACAGAGATCTACTTGCCTCTGCCTCCCATGTGCTGGGATTAAAGGTGTGTGCCACCAGGCCCGGCTTCTGTGGACTGCTTTTGACTAGCTCTTCTGTTGTAATTTGTCCTCACTGGCCTTGGGACCGGCTCTATCCTAGTCCTCATGTTCTTTGCTGGGGCCAGGAATGTTCTGCTTCTGACTTTCGGAAGTCGAGGGTGCCGCTCATTTTTTGCCCTCACACGTGATGGGTCAATGTCGTTGCGTGTGGTGTCTGTGCTGCTGGACCCTTTCTTGGCTTTGTGTGTACTGTGTGCATTAGGTTGGGAACTAAGTGGGCTGTGGACGTCTCCTTGGGTGTTACCTCCTAGTAGCATGATTCCTTAAAAACAGTGAAATAGTGAAAGTTTCAAGAGCGTGCTGCTGGCATCAGCCTTTCATAGGTTGGTGTAGATGTCTTTTAGAACGTATTCACCAAGACATAGTGTTTATTTCCTGCCTTGTCCTTTCCACCTTAAGGATTAAGGTAGTATGAATATATCCATGCTTGTCAATGGCACTAATTTGTTTCCTAAGGTTGGAGCATTGGCAGTGAGTGGGCAGAGGGAAGATGAAAACCCCCATGATGGAGAACTGACCTTCTTAGGGAGAGTGCTGGCACAGCTCCCTGTCAGTCAGCAGCTGGGGAAGCTCATTGTGCTGGGACATGTATTTGGGTGCCTGGATGAGTGCCTCATCATAGGTGAGTGTGGGGACAGTGTCTGGGAAGTCTGCGTATCTGTATGTGTGGTCAGTCTTCACTCTTTGTTTTTTGTCCTTAGCGGCAGCTCTCTCTCTGAAGAATTTTTTCACAATGCCTTTTCGGCAGCATCTGGATGGATATAGGTATTTAACATTCTTCCTGTGAGGGGTCACTTCTTAATGGCATAGGATGACACTTAGCTAATCCATTTGCAGGAACAAAGTGTACTTCTCTGGGAGCAGTAAGAGTGACTGCCTGGCTCTGGTGGCGGCATTCAAGGTAAGCCTCTGTCCTGTCCTCTGAAGGTGGTGGTGGCCGCTCTGACAGCAGTGTGCTTTCAGACACCCTGACTGGGAGTAAAGAGAGGTTTCCTCCGAGAGCCAGCTCTAAGTAACTGCTGGAGGGAGAGGTGGGTGTAGGCCTGAGGCCAGTTTCTTAAAGTTGATTGAAAACATTAAATGTGTAAATTTTCTGTGATGATGTGATGAAACTGGAATTAAATTCAATTAGCTAGTAAATTGTTTTGAAACAGTGGCTTCTGTCATTTTAGGCCTGGCAGGCTTGCAGACAGCGAGGAGAGCTGCGGCATCCAAAGGTTAGTCACATGTCCTTCTCCTTGCCCCCCATGGATGGCTGGGAACAATCAAATTTCTGGAGCTGCTGTCTCAGCTCAGCCACTGCTCGTGAACTGTTGTGCGGTTGAGACCTGAGCTGCTGCTGCTACAGGCTGTTTACACAGTGTGCTCTGGTGGGGCAGGCCAAGATCTTAGAGACCCAGTCCTTTTGCAGAGTACATTCTTCGGTTGCTTGTGGAAAGGAAGCTGTCCAGCGTGCAGAGAACTGTGTGGCCTTGTTTCACAGCTTTGGTTCACACTGACATGCCTGCTAGTATTGGCCTAACATGTTGGCCTAATTAAGGACCCTGTAGCCTTTGCTACCTTTGCTGAGTTTAGGTAATGGGTTTAACAGGACCCCAACCCAGTAGCCTCTAATTCATTTCTTTATCAGATCAACTTTTTCCTTCTAAACTGTTTTGGCTTCAAGGACCATTGGTAGGAATGTCTATGTAACTTTGCTACCTCAGTGGGTCTCTACCCTAGTGTGTGAGCTGCCCTGGAAATACTACCTCCTCCTCATTGATGCAGTGTAACAAGTCTTTTTCCAGTCTAGTTGTGTTGTATCTGCCTTTGGTGGTTTTTTTTTCTTGTTTTGTTTTGTTTTGTTTTGAGACAGGGTCTCCTGTAGCCCCAGCTGTCCTGGAACTCACTGTGTAGATCAGGCTGGCCTTGAACTCACAGAGATCCGCCTGCCTCTGCCTCCCCAGTGCTGAGACTAAAGGCGTGTGCCACCACGCCCAGCTTTGCTTTTGGGTTTTGAGACAGGTAAATTTATAGGAAGTGTTGTCCCTGTGTAGTGTTTGTGATTGGAACCTTGTGTTTTCTGTCTTCATTGTGAAGTTAGAAGTTCTTGGAAAGGGTATACCATGGTTACTCAAGTGCTCTGTTCTGTGGTACAGAGATTTAATGTCCATTGTTTAGGTTTTGGATGAAACATACATATTATGTAGCCAAATTAACCTCTGACTTATTAACCTAACATTGGATGTTATACTTTTATGTATTCGAAGGATGAACTTGACTGGGGACGGTTAAACTACATTCAGATCAAGAGAATTAGAGAGGTAAGGTATAAATTCTTAGACTCAATTGATGTAGATAAACTGATTTAGAAATTGGTTACTAAGCCCCAGTGATGCCAGGGTGTAGTGCATACATCTCTTCCTGTTTCCGCCAGTAGGATAACCATGGAGTAGACCTGCCTTGCAAGGAGGCAGTGCTTGGTCACAGCATCCCTGCGCAAGTGTAATTTAAATGTATTTTATTATTGTTATTTTATGTGTATGAGTGTATTTGCTTGCATGTATGTGAGTGCACCCGTGTTGTGCAGTGCCCACAGAGGTCAGGGCGTTATATCCCCTGGAAATGGAGTTACAGACAGTTGTTAGCTGCCATGTGGGTGCTGGGAATAGAATCCCAGTCCTCTGCAAGATCAGCCAGTGCTCTTAACAGCTAAACTGTTTCTCCAGCCCCCGAAGTATTATTTTATGATGAACAGTTGTGCAATCTGACAGCTCTCTTTTCAGTATGTCTCAAGATAAGCATGTGGTCTTTTCATAGCTAACTGATTGGTATAAGTAAATACATTATGGGCTTCATGCTGTTGATCCAAATTTGTGTTCTTGGTATAAATCTCCTTGATTATTTCCTCTCGACATTGCTGGGTTCTGATTGCCTGTTTTCTCTAGGTGTTTTGTAGTGGATTTATAAGTGAAACTGGCCTGTGGCTTCTGTGTTTGTGGGAGTGCATGCACACATACAGTGGGTGGCAGATTTTGACCTCAGGGTCAGAGTAGGCCCAGGAACAACTTTAGTAACAATTTAATAATTGACTAGTGCTTCTCTGGAGATGTTTTTTTCTTTTATTAAAATTTTTGTGTATTTCATAAATAAAATCATCTATATACCCCCCTTCCCCCATGGCACCCTCCCATAGCCCCCCACTGGAGTTCATATATTCTGTCATTTGTATTAAGGCCTGTTATGCAAAGGTAGTGTCCTGAGATGTCCCTCAGTGCAAATTCATCTACCAGGGTTTAGTCATTCTATCTAGAAGGAGTGTTCTTCCTCACCCAACAGTATTCAGCTGCCAATAATTCTTCAACTACGGTTTGGGCTTGCTGTTCATTTCCACAGTTCTGTGCTGGGTTTTTGTGTGCTTAAGTTTGCATGGGTCATGTGCATGCTGACACCACTGCTGTAGGTTTGTATGAGAAGGGTCCCAGGTGCCTGTAGGACTGTTTCTGTATGGTCCTACACCTCCTCCCTGGATCTTAAAATCTTTCTGCCCCCTCTTCCGCAATGGTCCCTGAGCCCTGGGTGGGTGGACCTCAATATAGGAGTCCTGTCCAAGGACCCACACTCTGCAGACTCTTATTCTCTGTGTTTTGGCCTTTTGTGGCCTTTTGTGTTCCTGGCCCTCTGTCGTATGAGGGAGCTTCACTGATGAGAACTGAAAGATGCATTAGTGTTCTCTTCATCCCTTGTTCTATGTTCTGTGAGCCTTAGGTGTAGAGGTTGCATCCTAGATGTGTCACTTAGACTTGGGCAGTTCACAGAGAATCTCTGTAAGTGACCAGTGGTGTAGCTCTGTAATAATTTCTGTTTATAAGGATTTGGTGCTAGGATCCACAAATGAGGGAGAACATAATGTCTTTTGTTTTTCTGAGTCTGTGTTACTTCACTTAGTATAACAGTTTCTAGATCCATCCACATACCTGCAAATTTCACTATTTCATCTTTCTTTTTCTAAAAAATATTTTTTTATTTTATGTGTATGAGTATACTGCCTGCATGTATGTGAGTGCACGCGTGTCGTGCAGTGCCACGGAGGTCAGAAGAGGACTTCGGATTCCCCTGGAACTGGAGTTAAGGACAGTTCGTAGCTGCCATGTGGGTGCTGGGAATTGAACCCGGGTCCTCTGCAAGAGCAGTCAGTGCTCTTTACCGCTGAGCCATCTCTCCAGCCCCTTATTTCATCTTTCTTTACTGCTGAGTAGAACTCCATTGTGTAAATGTACCACATTTTTGTTAACCACTCGTCAGTTGAGGGGCACTTAGGTTGCTTCCATTTCTTAGCTATTTGTGAAAAGAGCAGCAGCAAACATGGTTGTACAAGTATCTTTGCAATAGGATGAGTCCTTTGGGTATATGCCAAGGAATGGTATAACTGGGTCATATGGTAGGTTCATTTTTATTTTTTCCAATTTTTTTAAACGTGTATGGTTGCATGTAGGTAGGTGCACCAGTGTTGTGCAATGCCCGAGGAAGGTCAGGTGTCAGATCCCCTGGAATTGGAGTTACAGACAGTTGTTGGCTGCCATGTGGGTACCTTGGTTGTTTTCTTATTGGGTATGTAAAGCTGGTTGGTCTAGGTTTCAGGTTCTCTGAGATTTTATTTTGGAGGGAACTGTTGGCTTTGGATCAGCTCCTCAGGAGCTCCCACAGAGGCCCAGATCAGGCTCCAGTCAGGTACGCTTTGCCTTCCTTCTAACATCTGGACCCCTGCTAGCAGGTACACCATGTGGAGGGCAGGTCCAGGTGTTCTTGGTCTGCTAAGGTCTCCAGGGATGTTGTTTTGTCAAGGCAGGATCTCCCTATGTAGCCCAGGCTGGCCTAGAACTCATGATCACCATGCCTCAGCCTCCTGAGTTCTGGGATTATAGGCATGTGCCACCAAAGCTAGTTAAGGGATAATTTTTTTGTGTGTAATGTGTATACTTTTTTGTGTGTAATGTGTATACCAGCCACAGCTGGTCTGGGACTTGCTATATAGACCAGGCTGACCTTGATATCACAGAGATCCACCTGCCTCTGCCTCCTAAGTGCTGGGATTAAAGGTGTGTGCCACCACCCCTGGCCCCTCTTTATTTTTTGAGGCAGGGTCTCCTACAGAACCTGAAGTCAGCTCATTGAATTATCTAGACTGACTGATCAATGCACCTCAGAGATCTGCCTGTCTTTGGGGGGGGGTCAGGGGACCCTACTAGGTTTATAGGCACTTACTGATACTGCTAGGGGTGCCAAGAAAAGGTTTGCTTTCTCTGCTGGTTAAAGAATTAAAGGGCAGGAAAGAAGTGTTACTCGAATCTTGGAGAGCTGGTAGAGCCACCCTTTGATACTGGGGAATTCTGGTCTCCTCTTGGGGTTTGTTGTCGAATTAATGGGAAAGAAAATTAGGGACGAACTCAAATGGAAACTCCCAGACAGTTTGAAATAAAAAGGAAAATCTCAGGGCAGACAAGCTGTACATCTCCCAGCTGCCATTTGGATCAGCCAGTGTGGAGGTCAGCCACACGGCAGGGAGGGGAGCTTTAGAAAAAGAGCAAGGAGCCTAAAGCAGTAGATGGGGTGTCAGTGCATCCTGAGGCTCTGGCCAGCACCCAAAGGGAAAAGACAAAGAGAGAAGGCAGCGTGACTCAAAAAGGTGGCAGACCCAGTGGGACCTTGAGGGAGTGCACAGGAACTGCACTTGGGGGTGGGCATTCTGGGACAAAGAAGTACACTATCCTAAGGTAATCAGGGATGGTCCCTTTGCCAGGTCCTTGACCCGCACGACTGAATCAGCTCTCAAGGGCATGGCTCCACCCAGAGGTGGATGGATTCCACCCTTTATTGTACCACCACCAATGTGCCTAACTTTTTCTGTGGGTTCTGGGGATTTGAACTCAGATCTTCTTTCCTGCTTGTGTGATAGGAACTTCACTGACTGAACCATCTCCTCACTCCAAGAAGAGATTAGGTTTTTTAAATTGTTTACGTACTTGTGTCTGTGTGAGAGTATAGTATGCCACATGTGTGTGGGTACACATACAGCCTGAAGAGAGTGTCTGATCCCCTGGAGCTGGAGTCAGAAATGGTTGTGAGCCACCCTACATGGGTGCTGGGAATGGAACCCAGGTCCTCTGCAAGAGCAGGAAGTATTCCTAACCACTGAGCCATCTCTCCAGCCCCCAAGGGACAAATTAAAAAAAATTTTAGTAACGCTTATAATTAATATATATATATATAATTCTATATTTTAGTTACATACATTAATATAGTAGAGTGTGGTTGATTTTCTTAATTTCAACTTTGTGTCTGATGATAACATCTTTCTCATTTTGAAAATTGTGTTTGTGCCTAGCTAGTATAAAAAACCAGAGGGAAGGCCAGTCGTGGTGACACACACCTGTAGTCTCAACACTTGGGAGGCAGAGGCAGGCGGATCTCTGAGTTCAAGTCCAGCCTGGTCTACATAGTGACTTCCAGGACAGCTGGGGCTACAGGGAGACCCTGTCTCAAAAAGGCCAAAAAAACCCAAAAAAAAACACAGAAAAAAACCCCAGAGGGAATTGTATTAGTGTAAACACCGACTGAAAAGTAACACATACAGTATCCCTATGTGAGCCCATGTGAATTGTTGAAGGCCACATAAGAAGAAACAGTGCCAGACAGGAGAACCCTTCCTTTGAGCTGTTGGCTACGGTAGTTATCGCCAGAGTTCTCTCTGGGTCTCTTGCGCTGTCAGGCAAACCATATAACATATCTTTATGTGCATTTATTATTATCGTGGGTGGGGGGAGAGGGGAGTAACTTACAAAGGAATGAGCACCCAGTGCCTGGCCCAGCACAGCTCAGCTCTGACGGCGCCTCCAGTGGCATGGCTCAGACCCTGCCATATCACACCCTCAGCGCCACGCCCATAGCCACTGCTAGCATTCCCTCATGCCTCAGAGGCCAGTGATCTCGCCCCAGGTCCATAAGTGTCAGGCCATTCTGTCCTTGAGTACGCCTGGCTGCTGAGCATTCCCCACACGTCGTGTGTCGTTACTCGCAGCTCGCTGCTCCTATCCCAAGATGATGCCACAAGTCCCTCCTTCCACTGCTCACTCTGCCCGGTCCATTCTCTGCAGCAGGGCCCCTGCCCCTTGGAGGAACTAGAACCCCTAGGGAGACTCCCAAAAGTACACAGGCTACTGCCACAGCCGTTGATTGCCTCCCAGAACTTGAAGGTAAGACCCTATGGCTGAAGACAGGACATACTTTGGACATTGAAGCAACTGAGCTGGAACTGACCTGGAAGCCACCTCCCCTGGAGGCTAGCTCTCATAGCTTTGGAGAGCACTATGTAAGCTTCAAGGCCTAAAAACCACATGTGACCAGCACAGCAAATGACGTGGGTACAGTAGTGGCACTTTTATCTTGGAGGTAATCAACAGCTAAAACACACTCAATTGGAGGAAACTCGTGTGGTGCTGTGAACCTAGCCAAATACACATGGCTGGTCGTAGATATTAGAGAAAACTGCAAGGTTGACACATCTCTAAATAAATGTAATTTCTTAGTATGTGTAAAATATGGATCCTTAAATTTATACACAAGTATCCCAGTCACCACCATTAAAGAAACTTCTTTTTCAAGAGACAAAGATATTGCAGAATTCCACAACTGGTCACACAGAGATTGTGAACTGTCCAAGACTAAGTGGCACATCTAGGATGCAACCTCTACACCTAAGACTCACAGAACATAGAACAAGGGATGAAGAGAACACGAATGCATCTTTCAGTTCTCATCAGTGAAGCTCCCTCATACGACAGAGGGCCAGGAACACAGAAGGTCACTAATGGCCAAAACGCATGTTCATGTGAATATGAGTGTGCCCTTGTTGTGGTACATGTGCGGAGGTCAGAGGACAGCCTTGGGTGTCCATCATTGACTTCCACCTCGTCTAAGACAGGTCTCATTGCTGTTTGATGTTGCTCTGCCTCCCATCTCTTGAATGGGTTAGGGTTATAGACACAGGCTACTATGCCTCAGCTTTACGTGGTTCTGGGGTTAGGCCTCAGGTCCTCATGTTGCATGGCAAGTGCTTCACCACTGGGCCGTCTCCCCAGCCACTCATCACAGTTTTGACTGTGTTCTACTGACCTTTTTGACATGTAGGACTGGTGGTGTTCTGGGCCATAATTTCTTTTGATGTTTTCTACTTTGACTCAGAGTTTTTTGTTTGTTTTGGTTTTACTGTCTTTTTGAGATAAGGTTTCCCTCTGTCCTCAGCTGGCCTAGAACTGGCTGTGGAGACCAGGCCGGCCTCAATCTCAAGGAGATCTGCCTGCCTCTGCCTCACGAGTGCTGGGGTTAAAGGTGTGCACCATCACACCCGGCTGACTCAGAGTTCTTTAAATGAGTTTTTGAGAGTTTCCAGGTTAGATTTCTTCTTTTGTTAACGTCTGATTTTATCACATTTTAGTCAGAAAAAGTACCATGATTTAAAAAAAATTGTTTTGGGACAAGGTCTCTCTACATAGCTCTGACTGGCCTTGAACTCACAGAGATTCGCCTTCCTCTGCATCATGAGTGCTGGAAATAAAGGTGTGTGCCACCACTCCTAGCCCTTAAATTGCTTTTTAATTAGATACAGTCTTCAGCGATCCTGGAGAGAAAGGTGGTGCCTGAATGTCTCAGTGTGCCCCCAACACAGCCTAGGCTCTTTTCTCCCTCAGAGTAGCTGGGAAGATTGTCCTTTCACTACTCTGTGTGTGTGTGTGTTTGTGTATATGCGCGTGCATGCCTGCAAGATTAGAGATTTAGTCCAAGGCTTTGAACATGCTAAGCATACACATTCCTACTGAGCTGTATCTGTGATCCCTTTCACCTTATTATAGTTTTCCCTGTTAACTGTGTGTCTTTAAATTTTTTATTTTTATGTGTATGAATGTATTGCCTGCATGTATGTAAAAGTGCACCCATGTTGTGCAATGTCCACAGAGGTCTTTGAAAAAAAATTTTTTTTTGTCTTTTTGAGACAGGGTCTCCCTGTAGCCCCAGCTGTCCTGGAACTCACTATGTAGACCAGGCTGGCCTTGAACTCAGAGATCCGCCTGCCTCTGCCTCCCGAGTGCTGGGATTAAAGGTGTGCGCCACCATGCCTGGCGAAAAAAATTTTTTGAGACGGTTTCACGGTATGAACCAGACTGGCCTTGAACTGTGTATCCAAGGCTGGTCTCCAACTGGAGATCTTCCTGCTTCATCTGTTGATAGGGGATTATAGGTGCCACCATGTACAGCATGGTTTCTGCTGCTGAAACACACCATGTTTCTGACCATCACAATAGAATGTTCATGGTGGAGACTGAGGAAGAGTTTAAAGGACTTAGGGATTGTTGTTGAGTCACACATAAGTGGAGGGCAGGATGCTTCCTGGGTGCTCTGCTGTTACCGTTTGTACTGAGGCTTTCTTCATTCCTATGAGTCTTTACTGAGGTCACTGTGGTGCTCAGTGGACAGGCTGATACTGCCCTGTTTTGTCTTTGTTTTCACTGCTGTGAGTAGCATCTGTGCTTTGAGACGTCAGCATTCATTGTGCTTTTAGGTGGCCGAGTTATATGAAGAACTGAAGAACAGAATCTCACAGTTCAATATGTTTGTGGATCCTCGACATCCTGTCTTAGACCGGGAGTATCCGTACAAGCAGCGCTTCATCTTGCAGGTGTGCTGGCCCCCGGACTCCTTCCTTGACCCCCTATTCACACTTCTGGTTGAGGGGGTGCTCTCTGCCGCGATTGCTGCCAGCTGTGCACTAAGGCGCCATGTTTGGAACCGGGAGCCATTCTTTGCCTTCCTGGTTATACCCTTCCTGGTGCTGCATTCTGAGCTAGACCTGCTTCTCTCCCAACAGAGCTCCTGCTGCCACTGAGCATCGGGATAGGGCCTTCACCTGGGGTCCAGAGAGGAAACATGCTCTTGCTGTTGCTTAATGTATGGAGCAAACACAGTCACTCTGGATCATGAATACATGACTCGCTATGGGATGGAACCTTCTAAGAATTAAAAACATTATTTATTTTATGTATATGAATGTTATATCTGTATCTATGTCAGTGTACCATCTGCATGCAATGGCTGTGGAGGCCAGAAGAGGACAATTGGATCCCCTGGACCTGGATTTACAGATGGTTGTTAGCTGCCATGTGGGTGCTGGAAACTGAACCCGAGTCCTCTGCCAAAGCACTGAGCCATCCCTCCAGTCCCCACCCCTCCTTCTAGGAGTTTTATAGAATTGTGTGTCTTGGCAGGTGGAAAATGCTTCTGCATAGGCCTTCAGAACACGTTCACTGGTGTGCACGTTCACAGGGTTTGAGGGAGACACCTCCACGCTGGGCATGCTGGGAGCATGAATGCTTTTGTGGATATGAAATTGCTGACTTTGCAGAGTGCCTTTTAGAAGTGAACATTCTATGCCAGCCTGCTGTTCAGGTCGGGGGCCCAACTGAAGTTATATCTGCATGTCTGGAGAATGCCTGACCCACTGGAGCTAATGCTGGGGGGGTGGAGACGGCGAGCCCCCAGGGCTCTGTGTGCTGAGGCCTTGCTCAGCTCTCTCTCAAGTACGTCAGCAACTCCAAAGAAAGGATTTTATGGGGAAATAATGGGGAGGGGTGTATTTCTGCTCGGTGTGTGGGGGATCCAGTTTTTTATTTATCTTTTATGTGCCTGAGCGTATTCTTGCATGTATATAAGTGCACCCGTGTTCTGCATTGCCCACAGAGGGCAGAACAGGGTGTTGGATCCCCTGAAACCGCAGTTATGGATCGTTATTAGCCACCAAGTGCGTGCTGACAATTGAACCCAGGTTCTCTGCAAGAGCAGCCAGTGCTCCAACCACTGAGATGTCTTTCCAGGTCCAAGGGATCTGTTTTTTATGCATTACATGTGCCAGTCATGTCAGTCCACTGGGGTGAGATGAGAACTCCAAGAACTGACCCACCTGTTTTCCAGGTTGTATTGGCAGGTGCTTTTTATCCCAACTACTTTACTTTTGGACAACCAGACGAGGAGATGGCGGTGAGGGAGCTGGCTGGCAAAGACCCAAAGACTACAGTTGTGGTAGGTGACACAGAGGAGCTGTCCCAGAGATTGGTATGAATGTTGGTTTCAGGTGGATCTGCCTTTAGTGTGGCCAGTGCAGAGGACTGTTCTCTTAAGTGCTGTGTGGACTTCTCCCTAAAGTGACCACTAGGCTTGTTTAGTCTTTCAAAGACTCTTCCTTGTACCTCAGTCTCTTCCTCCTTTTTATAGGAATTAACAACTTAATTGCACACAAAGTAAAGCGTTTTTGTTTGGCAACTTAGAACTGTGCTTTCAACAGCAGTGATTCACTGCCCTGGATGACCAGCAGAACTACTTAGAGAATGTTAAGTTCAGGTTTGTGGCCCTTCAAAGTCTGCATTAGATGTGACCTGATGTGAGCAGCATGTACTGCAGGGTCTGAGGTGAGCCACAGGCACTGACTGTTGGATCCACAGAGTCATTTGTTTACATGCCAGCAGCAGCAGTAGCAGCAGCATGTGGCAGCTAGAACCATGCATTTGAGGACTGGGCTTTCATTAGACTCCTTGGCTGGTGTAAACCTAGGTCTGATTCAGGGGAATGAAAAACACATGTAGTATGTGCTCAATCCTCACTCACTTTTGTTTGGGTGGTGTTATACCACTTTGGCAACTGTTGGGAGCATGGAGAGTGACAAGAGCGAGCCAGATTCCAGAACATGACAAGTACAGGTCTTGGAGCAGCACTACAGGTGAAGGGTGCAGAGAAACATCTCATGCTGGGAAGGGTTTCTGCTTCAAAGGCAGCAACTGGCTTCTGTAGCCATGAGGACTGTCTGCTTTTGTCCCATCTCACCAGAGGAAGCTCTGCTTGGCGTTCTCCTTCCCACTTTCCCCCAGGTGTCCTTCTTTCAGCTGTGCACAGTGGTAGAGCCCTACAGGACCCTGCCTCAGACATATCACTTAGCCCAGACAGCCTATTCATCTGACACTGACCAACCATGCACCACACAAACTAAATCACAGCTAGCTTTGCTTGGCACGTCTTTGAGAAGTCAGGCGCTCTTCTCCAAGCCTCACTAACCTTGGAATGGATGATTTTCCATCTTAACTTTGTGATGTGGCAGTTCCATAGGACTTGAACTTAGACCTGGGTCCAAGCTGTGCCCTCCCTCACCTGCTTCCACTAGCAGATGGTGTCGGCCCTAGCTCAGCAGGGCCTGGCAGTGTGCAGGGACCCCTGTGGAGCCAGAGTTCGGAACATGAGTAGTCTTGATGCTCAGAGGGTGAGAAGTGCTGGGAAAGTTTGGTGTAGCTTGGGTTAGAACTGCTGGGTCAGAGCCTGTCTTTGCTGCCACAGGACGAAACGGCCTCTGATGATAAGCATCTTCCTTAGATTCCTACTATTCTTGTACATCCAAGTGTGGTGTTTTAGAAGGATATAGTTAGTGTGATTATTTTAGAAAGTAAACATACCTTAATTTTACTATATTAGATTGTTGAACTAAAAGGAGAAAACCAGCCTTTATTTAATGAATTTTTAATTAAACCTTGGCTATCATTTAAAGTCACTCTATTGTTAAAGACACTGATAGGTAGAGTTTATCTGTCCCGGGTAAAGATGTGATGAGCAGCCACTTCTGCTCCTGGGTGTGCGACTCTCATGGTCCTTGGGGCTCTGACTTGCACTGCCATCTGTCTTACAGCTGAAGCACATTCCTCCCTATGGATTTCTTTACTACAAACAACTGCAGTCTCTCTTTAGACAGTGTGGTCAAGTCAAATCCATCGTGTTTGATGGTGCGAAGTAAGTAGTCCATTTTTGTAAACAACTACAGTTATGGAAGCATTACACTGGTTGAAATGTTTTTCAGACTCCTCAGGGCCAGATAGGTGTGGGAGCAGGACTTCCTGGAAGCTGACAGGGTCGCTCCTGAAATGGAGCTTCGGTTTGTCATGTTGCCGGTGGGATTTCTTGTCCTTTCCAGTTAGCTGTGTGCTGAAGAAACTGCACTAGACTCAGAGAGACTTCTGGGAGACTGTGGTGCTGGGGGTGTTTTTGTGGTCCTCCATGTGTGTCACTTCAGTGTCACACCCTCAGATTCTCATGGCAAATCACTAATGTGCTCTTTGTAGCCATGGAGATCCCCCAAGTAGAGTTTGTCTGTGAACTCTTTAAACACATATTTGTTTATCTTAAATAATTTGAGAAGACACACCATGCAGAATCTCCGTTCGTTTGGCCCTGTTTTATTAGAGTTGGGAACAAATGGTCAGCTGGAGTGTCACTGGGAGCTTTTATTTCCAAAAGGAAACACATGTTAAAAGTCTGAAAGTTTTTTTAAATGACTTTTTAACTGTTAAAATTGGAAATTGTACAGTGTTGTATCAATGTTTTAAAATTTGTGTTTAATTTGACAAAGCTCTGGGAACTGGGTTATTAAGAATACCTTTTCTTTGATTAGTATCTGGTTGACTCAATTTGAACATAATCAATTTTCAATTTGGAGTGATTGCCTCCAACATTTCCAGTTCCATTTATATGAATAATATATTGATTTTCTTTGCAGGTCTGTGCATGCCTCATGAGTCAAAGTGGTTACCCTAACAAGCCAAATACTTTTCAGCATTCAACAGGCTTACAGATGTAGTGAATTAAAAGTTCAGCATCTGAAACTTTCTAAAGCGTAGTATAAACTACCGGCCTTATTAGTCAGACTTATAGTTCAACACTAGAAATGCGTAGCTGACCAGCGGCCCTGTTGTTCCTGAACTTGAAAAGTTCAGCTGCCTCCGCCGAGACTCCAGCTGTCCTCTGGCTGACTGAGTAGTCAAAGCATGGCAGCATCTTGGTTCCCAGCCCTCACTACTGGGCTGAGTCTTATGTTTCATAGCTTTCTGTCTGTGATCCCTTTATAGGCATCTAATTGTATTTTACAGCATTCCTCACACTGGCTTTTAGTCACAATAGGAATGGCATGCCAGTATTTCCAGGGAAAGCAAGTGTTCTTTTTGGTTGTATCATAGCAGTGAAGCGGTTTAAAGGCAATGGGTAATATGAAACAGTAATCAAAGAATAATGACTGAGTTCCTTTGGCGCACAGCAACCTGCTCTAAGTAGGACCTGTGTTAGTGTGGTGGCATGCATGCACAGGTGGCACCTTTGGAGTGTAAGGGCAGGACGTTTGTCAGCAGTACCTGCTAATAAGCATAGTGTTGTAAAGGATCTCGTTGAGGTCATTGTGCACACATTTGCATGGTTTTATGTGTCTGCATTTCATTCCGTAGTGGTTTGAAAAGGAAATCGGCCCTTCTGTTGTAATTGTGACAGCTAAGACTCCTTGACTGGAATGTCCCTGTGGACTTGGTGTCTTTCCTGCACTGTGTGTACAGGATGAGGCCTGGATTTATTGTCTTGTCATTGTAGCTGATTTTCCTTAGATTTAGAGTGAAGTTACTAGCATTTTGAGACATGTGCAGTGAGAATTTCTACCTTGAGAGAAAGTAATGTTGGTTTTTATTAGATGCCTGACAAATTTATGTTTTAATTTGTATTTGTGGAGCAGAGCCTTTGTGGAGTTTTCACGGAATCCGACTGAGAGATTTAAAACCCTTCCTGCTGTGAATTTGGCAGTCAAGATGTCCCAGCTGAAAGTGTCCCTGGAGCTCAGTGTTCATACTGCAGAGGAGATCGAAGGGAAGGTACAAGGCGGCTCAGTGTCTAAGCTCAGGAATACAAGGTATTGTCAGAAGACTGCCTGCTCTCCAAATACTGTTCTTATGTGATGTTCGACATTGCTATTGCGGGCCATGGCTTTGTCACCAGTTGGCGCTGCCGTTGAATCCTGGTTTTAGTGTCTCCTTGGGTGTGCTTGAGACCTTTTACCAAGACTTAGGCCTCTGAACCTCACAATCTAGCCTCTGTTTACTAGATATGATTCCTCTTGCACAAACTGCTGAGATGATTGAGTGGAATCATTTGTTTAATTCTGAGTTTAAGTAGTAAAACTATGCTAATCTCCTCTTTAGGGTTATGAATTTCATTTTAAGAATTCTTTTTCTTTTTATTTTTTTTGGTCTTTTTGAGACAGGGTCTCCCTGTAGCCCCAGCTGTCCTGGAACTATGTAGACCAGGCTGGCCTTGAACTCACAGAGATCCACCTGCCTCTGCCTCTGCTGAGATTAAAGGCGTGCACCACCACGCCCGGTCTAGAATTCTCTTTTTAAAGCAAAGTAGAGCTCTCTTTCATTTCAGCAGAGCAAAAGATAGGCCGAGTGGAGGTACATTTGGGGTGCTGGTTCTTGCCAGTGCCAGCAGCTGAGGGGTGTCATTGGCTCCACCCTATTGGTATGGGACAGAGGTAGCCATTGTTGCCTGGGGGTGGCTCAGGGTAGGGCACTCACATAGCCGTTTGACTGGTGGACCTTCTCTTGGACACAGGTTAAATGCCCTCTGGTGTTTCTGATAGATTCCTGGAACAGACCCTCAGCACCACATGTGCAGAAGTTCAATTTATCACTCAACTTGTAATCTTTGTGAGTCCAGAAGGAACCTGCAGGAATCTGAGGAAGGGAAGGAAGGGAAATGTGCTCAGTTTGTGCATGTGTATTTGTGCATATGTGTTGTGTGTGTGTGTGTGTGTGTGTGTGTGTGTGTGTGTAGGCCACAGGTCAACATCATATGTTTTTTCTGGATAATTATTATTCTTATTATTCTTATTATTTTGCTTTTTATGTGCATAGTGTTTTGTCTGCCTGCATGTATGTAAATGCACCATGTGTGCAATGCCCATGGAGGCCAGAAAAGGGTGTTGAATCCCTGGAAATTGGAGTTATAGATAGTCATTACCTGCCATGTGGGTGCCGGGAACGAAAACTGAAGAGCAGCCAGTGCTCTAACCCCTGAGCCATTTCTTAAGCCCGTTTATTTTTATTTTTTATACGTATGAGTGTTTTGTTTCCATGTATGTAAGCTCCCTCATTTTTGGGCTACAGGATTCCTCACAGAGCCTGGAACACATCCATTTGGCTGGCTGAGCAGGGGGCATAGGGAGCTTCCTGTTTCTGCACTCCCACCAACCTGAGGTTGCAGGCATGACCTCTGGCTTTTCACACAGTTCTGGGGATCTAAACTCATGCTTGCACGGTGAGCATGTTACTAATGGAGCTATCTCCTCAGCCTGCAACTTTGATTTCTGAGCATTTGGGAGAGAGGTGGATATAGTCCTCAAAGAGAGAATCACCTTTGTCAGAGTCAGATTGAGCTGGCATTTGTGCCTGTGGCTACTCCTCACCAAAGGGAAGAGTTGGGTCGGATCTTGCCTCTGGTTCCCTTTATTTAGGATAAAGGTATCAAGAAAGGACATTATGTTTATTGACTTAGTCTTTCATAGCCTTGAACTCTAGCACTTACTGTCCTGTGGCTGTGAAGGGTAAGTGGCAGGTCTCAGGCTTGCTAGGCAGTCATGCTTTATGTTTAGTGTAGTACTGAGCCGAATGTGGGTTCTGTCTGTCTGTTTAAGGCATGTTCTCATGTAGCCTAGGCTGTCCTCAGACTCATTGTACAGCTGAAGATGGTCTTGAACTTCTTCTGTTCTTCCTGCTTTCACCTCCTAAGTGTTGGGTTCTCAGGCGTGCACCACCATACCTGGTGTATGCTGTGCTGGGGATCCAACCTAGGCTTTGTGCGTATGAAGCAAGCACTCTACCAGCTGAGCCTCAGCCCCAGTTCTTCATGAGATCATGAGGTAGAAACAGTTGCAGGCCCTAGAATTTAAAATTTGTATACTTAAAAGTAGATATTGTGTTTTGGATTTTAGAATGTATTCTTGAAGGATAGTACATAATTACTAGGATATGCATCTCCTCCAGGATAGCTCAGGAAACCACTGAAAATTCCCCTTTGAAGTGAGCTCAAACAGATCTCTGACTATATCCATCAACTTTCTCTTTGTGTGACAAACGCGAGGAAATTGCCTTGCAAGAGGAGAGGCTATTTTGGCTCATAGCTTCAGAATATGTCCGTGGTTGGTTGATCCTGTTAATTGGGGCCTGTGGTAAAGCAGCACCTAGTGGTACAGTCCATGTTGGAGGAAACCACTTACCTCATGGCTGCCAGGAAACTGCGGCAAGCCAGGTTCCAAGTACCCCATTGAAGGTCATGCCCCTACTGGCCCAGCTTCCTCCCAATAGGCCCTACCTCCTAAAGATCCACCACCTCCCAGTAGCCCCCTGGGCTGGGGCCTTGGGGGATAGTTAAGATCCAAACTCTAGCACTGGCTCAGGTAGTTTATTACAGCATTATTTTTTTTTTGAAGAAATATTAGTCTGGATCAAGTGATAATTTCACACGTGTATGAATTTTTCTAGCATTTGATTTGATTATTGAATTTTTCAAAAATTCATGTTACTCAGGGTGAATGTGGACTTCCAGAAGCAGACAGTGGACCCCATGCAAGTCTCATTCAGCACATTGGACAAACCCCGGATGGTTGCTGATCTCCTCCTGACTATCGATGTCACAGAGGTGAGGGTGTGCCATGTGTCTGCAGATTCCTTCCTCCTCCACATCTGAAGATAGCATTGTGCACGGAACAAATTCCCTACACACACACTTGTGCACCTCACCTCCTGTGTGGTGAAGGTGGCCGAGCTTGAATGACTGTGCTTGCTAAATTAGAATGTGGCTAAAATGGAAAACAAAAATCTATTCTAGAATCAAAGTTAATTTAAAATTTTTTATTTATTTGTTGTTTGTTCATTTATTTTTTTATGTGTAGGAGTGCTTTGCACCATATGGGTGCAATGCTTGTGGAGGCCAGAAGAGAGCATCACATCCCTTAGGAACTGGAGTTACAGACCATTGTTAGCTGGCATGTGGGTGCTGGGAACCAAATTCGGATCCTCTAGAAACATTCTTAACTGCTGAGCCATCCATTATCTCTCTAGCCCCCAAAGTTAATTTTTTAAAAAATATTTTATTTTTTGCTATTTTTATTTTATGTGTATTGCCTACATGTATGTAAGTGCACCTGTGTTGTGCAAAGCCTGCGGAGGCCAGAGGAGGGCATCGGGTCCCCTGGAACTGGAGTTTACAGATGGTTGTTAGCTGCCATGTGGGTGCTAGGAACCAAACCTGGTCCTCTGCAAGAGCAGCCAGTGCTTTAACTAGTAATCCATCTCTCTAGACCCCCCCAAAAAAATTAATTTTTAAAACATCATGTATATTCATTTAGCAAGGTAAAAAATTTAAAATTAGTTGACATATGTACTTGCATAAGTGAGTTTTTATCAACAAAACTAGTGTTGGTACTATTATTTGGATATGTTTTTTATGTTGTTAAAGTAAAATTTCAGTTACAATACTTGTGTGTGGATGCAGCTCAGTGATAGCGCTGTCGTCTAGCATGTTCAAGCCCTAGCACAAAAAATAATGAGATCAGGAAACTTACACATTCTGGTAAATGAATATTTGTGCTCCACGGGGTCATTTTGTGTAGCAATGTGGATTCCAGTCAGATGAGTGCCTTCGTGACTGTGGCCCTTGTGTTTGAGCAACAGTGGGAAGCTGCTCAGAGGGTCTCTTGGTGGAACATCTGCTGTTCTCTGCCAGGCCTCACATGTTGCTCCCATTCTCTGGGCTGTGCACTTGACCGGCACCTGGCCTCACCAGTTTAGAGTGCACCTGAGGCTAAATGCAAGACCTCTGAGAGCCTCAGTGCCTGGAGAGCCTCATGCCTCTGAGAGCAGGGGGTGTGGGACTCACTTCTTGCCTTGCTGTCCACAGCCTCCTCTTTTGTTCCTTACGAAGGCCTGCTAGAAACCTGCGAGTCCCCATGGATGCAGCGCCAAGCATGTGAAGGGCTGTGGTCCCCTGCAGTCTTACTTCTACCATGCCTCCCTTGCAGGTGGTGGAAGTAGGGCACTTCTGGGGGTACAGGATTGACGAGAGGAACGCCGAGCTTCTGAGGAAGCTGACTGCTGAGATAAACCGGCTGGAGCTGGTACCCCTGCCTGTCCACCCACATCCAGACCTGGTCTGCCTGGCACCTTTTACTGATTGCAATAAGGAAAGCTATTTTAGAGCTCAAATCCTTTATGTTTCTGGGAATTCTGCTGAGGTATGCTTTTCTCTTAACAAGTCATTTTGAGAGGAAATAGCTTGGGGATTTATAGAACAATCTCCCCTTGTTAGAGGTGAGCGCCTAAGGCATTTCCCTTGTAGATGTGTGGGTCTGAGCCCAGGTCATTCTGAGCACAGTCTGTGCACGTTTCCATTACTCAGGAGAACACTATGTGGCCCCGGCCAGTGTCTGTTTTCTTTTGTCGTCTAGGTGTTCTTTGTGGACTATGGGAATAAGTCTCATATAGATCTGCATCTTCTAAGGGAGATTCCCTGTCAGTTTCTTGAGCTTCCATTTCAGGTAAGGTAGAAAAAAAAATGCTGTGGAATAAGAGTCCGATCAAAAAGGGAACTGCTGAGGCCCCTCACAGCTGAAGTCCATAACAAAGAAGGGACTGGGCTGCACTAGCCGAATCTGATCTCTATTCTTGAAAAGTGCATTGCCACAGGCATTCTGGCCATTATTGGTCTTGGAGTGAATTAGAATATATGGAGGACTTAGGGCTAAAGAAAATTGTTTTAATTTGGTGATACCTTTTGACACTTTCATAAAGCATCTCACTGTGCTGTCCGCAGAACACAGGTCTTTGCATGCGTGCCCCCCCCCATGCTGAGAAAGAATGCTCAAGGTTACTTGACACTGATGCTGTGGGTACCAAGTGAAGCTGTGTTCCTTTAGCTAGGAAATCCTCACTATCCCATGGTTTTTAGGATTTTCCAGGAACACTGATGAACAAAATCACATTTCAGTGGTGTTTGGAGCTAGTATTTTTATTCAATTATGAAACTGTTTCCATGTGCTTTTCTGTTTCATAGGCTTTGGAATTTAAGATCTGCAAAATGCGACCTTCCGCAAAATCTCTTATCTGTGGAGAGCATTGGAGTGGTGGGGCCAATGCACGGTTTGCCTCCCTGGTCAGTGGCTGTGCTCTCCTGGTGAAAGTGTTCTCAGTTGTGCATAGTGTCCTGCATGTGGATGTGTACCGTTACTCGGGAGCCCAGGAAGCTGTCAACATCAGAGACATTCTCATCAGGGAGGGCCACGCTGAACTTGCAGAGGAGTCCTATGAGTCAAAAGTACGCAGCTTTGTTCCTGGTAGAGTAGAGCATAGGCATGGGGGGGGGGGGGCAGAGAGGGGAGGAGGGGAAGGAGGGGAAGACGGAGTTGGGGAAACAGGGATGGATGATGGGTGGACTCATACCTCACTGAGTCTCTTTACCGTCTTAAGTACCTTCATCTTTCTGAGGCTGCATTATGGCAGATGCCTCCTATTTTTATAGCTTCCTATTCAAGTTATTTTTTTCCTTTTAGAGATGAAAATGAGATTTGAAAATGTTGATTTTTATTTTTTAATAGATTCTAAGACTTATTTCCATAATGGAAGTGATCAATAAATATTTCATGCCGTCATGGTGGCACATGCCTTTAGTCCCAGCACTGAGGAGGCAGAGGCAGGTGGATCGCTGAGTTCAAGGCCAGCCTGGTCTACATAGCAAGTTCCAGGCCAGCTGGAGCTACAGGGAAACCCTTTTTCAAAAAGACCATAAAAGTATTTCATGTATTTCATTTCAAAACATTTCAAAAATTTCCTTTAACTCTTTTTCAAAATCAGTTGTAAAATTACCTTTTTTGGCCCAAAGGCTTCAGAGAGGCTGTTTTTGAGACACATGTTGAAGATCTTTTTGTTATGCTTCTGTCCTTTCTGCTGGGGATGAAGGATGCTGGTAATTGCAAAGGGCAATCTAGTGAAAAAAGTTTTTTAATATTTTATTTTTACTTTATGTGTATGAGTGTATTGCCTGCATGTGTGTAAGTGTACCTGTGTAGTGCAATGCTCGCGGAGGTCAGAAGAGGGCATCAGATTCCCTGGAACTGGAACTACAGATAGTTGTTAACCACCATGTGGGTGCTGGGAATCAAACCCTGGTCCTCTGCAAGAGCAGTCAGTGCTCTGAACTGCTGAGCCGTTTCTCTAGCCCCACTCTAGTGAAATATTGACTGAAGAGCTGGTTAAGTCCTCTAATAGATGGATACAGAAATCATTGTAATAACCCTGGTATAAAACTAATTTTGTGTATGACTTTTTTTTTTTTTGGTCTTTTTGAGACAGTGTCTCCCTGTAGCTGGCCTGGATTTGCTATGGAGACCAGGCTGGCCTCCAACTCACAGAGCTCCGCCTGCCTCTGCCTCCTAAGTGCTGGGACTAAAGGTGTGTGCCGCCACACCCAGCTTTTTTGGTCTTTTTGAGACAGGGTCTCCCAGTAGCCCCAGCTGGCCTGGACCTTGCTCTGTAGATCAGGCTGGCCTTGAACTCATGAGATCCACCTGCCCCTGCCTCCCAAGTGCTGGGATTAAAGGTGTGCACCACCATGCCCAGTGTGTATAAGACTTTTTTTTTTTGTCTTTTTGAAAGCAGGGTCTCCCTGTAGCCCCAGCTGTCCTGGAACTCACTATGTAGACCAGGCTGGCCTTGAACTCACAGAGATCCACCTCCCTCTGCCTCCCAAGTGCTGGGACTACAGGTGTGCACCACCACGCCCAGCTGTATAAGACTTTTTAAACACATTTTGTTATTGGATTGACTCAGGTCACAAGCATGCTAGGTAGGTACTCTGCCACTGAGCTATTCCCTAGCCGAAGACTGATAGATAAAAAGTAGCCCTATGACGAATAGGGTTGATCAGGAGAAAGCAGAGGTTTTTAGCAAAGGAACACATGGGACAGATTCCCTTCTGGGCAGGGAAAATGTCTGCCCCAGGTTGTGAGCTGGGGTCTTTTAAAGGGGGAGACTTCTGCTTCCTGTAGAAGGTGGGAAGATGTATTTTTAAAAAAAGTTGGGTAGGGGGGAAGTGGGAGAGCGGGACTCTTAAAACCTGCCCTCTTTAGAGATCAAAGGGGCGGGGGGGGGGGGGGGGGGAGAGCCTGCTGTGTTGGCCAGAGGAGAAAAGTCTGCTTCTCTTGACTTTAAAGACCAGGGTGCTTATCAGCTTGTTTCCCTTTTCTCAGGAGCATGAGAAGTCCTTGGGATCCTGTTGGTGAGGGGGCAGGGCTATCTGAACCTTAACATTCCAACCTTTTGTGTTATAGGACAGGGGGCACAGTTGTTGTCTTGCTACTTCCTGCTGGACAGGGTTGACGGGTGGGAGGGTGCTGGATTAGGGGTCTATCAGACAGCGGGGGTTCCCTCTTCATGCATCTCAACAGGATCCTTGATGGTTGACAGGCGCTTGTGTATATGTTGGAGGGAAGGAAAGTAACAACTGATTAAAATTAGTAAGAGTTAGTTTTTGGATTTGGTCCTGAAAATATCTGAAGAGGCAAGGGGCAATGGTTAGCACCAGGGTAATAGCTCATTTTTCTTTTTCTTTCTTTTTTTTTTTTTTCCCTCTTTTCTGCCAGGGCTGAACTCAAGAGTGATGGACTCAGGATTTGTTTTCAGGCATTTTGGTAGCTGTTGGAGTGGCTAGAATAAGTGTCAGTTACCTCTCAAAGGCTTCTAGATAGGGAGAGAAAACAAATTTAGCCATCATTTAATTTTTTGGGCTAGAACAATAGTGGGTTGCCTCTCTTAGCTGTAGGTGGGCACTACGGTATTGTAGACCTAGATTTGAAGTCTTAT